ACATATAAACCTTTGCAGTTCACTTAAATAGACAACTTATAATAGTTAAACAAGAATTAACAAAATTAAATAAATAAAATAATTGAATAAAATAAAAAATAATGAAGTTTATCCATAATAAAGAAAAAACATTAAAAAAGGTTTAAATCATTTTTAGATAAAGTATAGTATATTTGTGCATGTATGTATTTTTGTGTTTAACTGATGATTCATTTACCTGTATTTGGTGTGAACGATGGCATATATGAAAGGGTTGTAGATGGCGGATGACTTGGCGATGACCGCCGGCAGTGTTTTAGAGTAGGGCGTCAGGATGCTTGCATGCCTGAGAAACCGAGGGAAAAATGAGTTACTTTTAAACACATGTAGGTCATTCAGAAAGTGTAGAGCGACAGCAGTGCAGCGCTGCAGACAGAAAGACAGATTACAATGCTTTATAATCTTTTCCTCCTCCTCACAGCTGTGCTGAGCTTAACAGAGAGCTCCACACACTTATGAGACAAATGTACATCGAAAAGTGCCAGATAAACAGTAATCAGGGGATTTGCAGACTGATATACAGTATAAAGATTACAGCAAATGCAGCATCCGCTAAACTGTTTCAGTGCATCATATAAATATTGAGGCTTATATCTCAGTGGCTGGTTTTGAGTCAGAAGTTTACTATTTTGAAATACGTTATTTAGTGCAGTTACCGTAAATCGATTAATCGAGATTAATCGCATCTAACATAAAAGTTTTTGTAATATACTGTATTCACACACACACACACACACATATATATATACTGTATATAGATATATGCACTGTATGTGTGTGGGGGGGGCTGTACTGTGTATACACACACATATATATATTATATAAACAAAAACAATGTCAGATGCGATTAATCATGATTAATCGATTTAACAGCACTAAAAGTCCTCTAAAATATCCAATATTCAAATTGATCCTAAATAACAATAATGGTGACTTTCTTAAACAATTAAACAGTATCATCAACAACTCTAATTAATTCTGAACAAAAAAGGCATTTTCTTCAAATCAATATCAATTTCTCTAAGATTGACAATATCTGCTATAAGGTCAACGTGTGTCCGATGTTTAATGTTTGTTTTTGTTTTGTACTTATGTGGTTATACAGAAATTGTGACGCATAAGATGTGTTGGGAACAAATTACTTTCAAATTTAAGGCAAAAACTGTATTTCAGAATCATTTCTCAAGCAAATGTATCTTTTAATCGCAGAGGAAAGACCATGTCATGCCTACAGAACAGAAAACAAAAATAATAACAGTGAACACAGGGCTCACACAAGTAAGCAGTTGTTCGGCTCCTATCACATGGCCGTAGCTTCAGTACAAGACGGTTGCATGTGACACATGCAGTCATGAAATTATATGGAAAGTTTAGGGGTCAGTGATAATTTGCAATGCTTTTAAAAGAAGTATATTTTGTTCACCAATGCTGCAATAAAAAAAGCTATATTGTGACATTTTATTGCAAATTTTAAATTATAATTTTAATTTTTTTCCTGTGATGTAAATCATTACTCCAGTCTTTAGTGTCACATGATCCTTCAGAAATCATTCTACCTCCTGCTAAAATCAAATGTTTTGGCTCAACAAAAAAAAAAATGCAACAGTTCACATCAATCTTTTTGAGTTATTAAACAGTACAATGTAAAATAATATTGTTGGTTTAACTAATAATATTTAATAATATTAACGTTGGTTTAAAGTAAGTAACCTGATTGCCTTAAAATTTTAAGTTGATTTAACTGGAAAAAGTGAGTTAATACAATGAAGGAGATTAATTTAATCACCAGAAACTCAAAATAATAAGTTATCTCAACTAAATAAATTATTTAAGTTAATTTGACAAAAGCAAAAATGTTGTGAAAACAAATCTTGAAAAAAATGTGTAACTTCAACAACAAAAAAAATGAAAATTGAGTAAGATGAACTTAATTTGTAGCATAAACAATTTAAGTTGATTACTCAAATAAATTAAATTGAGCGGTGGCCCTGGAACCAATTAATATCTGTTAATATTATCTATTAGTCTTGTTTATTATTTATTTAAAAACTTTTTTAACACATAGATTTCAATTTAAATTACACACAATATTTATTTATTATTATGTCAACAGATCTCATCAAAATAACCTTGTATTTATTTAAGTTGAGGTAATTAGGTTACCTGAATACATTTTTAGAGAGTAATATGCTGTTTTGGTGCTCATGAAACAATCATTATTATTATCAATGTTGAAAACAATTGTGCTGCTTCATATTTTTGTGGAAACTGATGAATATTTTGTTCATGATTTTGGGATGAAAAGAAAAGAACAGCATTATTATTATTTATTTTTTACTTTATCATAAGAAATCCTTTATAACATTTAAAATGTCTTTATACTGTGCCTTTTGATACATTTAATGCATCCTTGCCAAATAAAAGTAATAAATCTTACATACTGACCCTAAACTTTTGAACGATATCATAATATCATTCATACTTGTAGCACAAGCTACATTCTTAGGGTTACACATAGATATATACAGATCTGTTTCTGAAATCGCTCCCTATCCACTATATAGTGCACTATATAGGGTGTCGGCCATTTTGTAGTGGTGTCTGAACTATATCATTCCCTGCATCCGTTCACTACTTTTACCCACAATCCTCTCTGATTTTGAGTGTACATCTGATGTCCACTTGCTGAAGCACTATTTCCCAGAATCCAATGTGTAGAGGACTGAGCATGCGTGAAAGTGCAAACCAGAAATTACTTAACAAGCTTTTTTTCTACCTTTTTTTATATTGATCATTACTTGAATAAAAGATATTACAAATTTGAGAAATATTATATAGATGCATGTTAAAATTAATTAAATCAAATAAAAGTATTAAATCTTACTGACCCCAAACTTTTGGCTCGCTTAACAAACTAACCCCAAGTATAAGCAATATATTTAGTGATGATACCTAAGCTTATGAGGAACACATGAATGTAAGGTATGAATATGTGTGCATTCTCAGAACTCACCCCGCCCAGGCGATGAGGGTGATGCACGCGTAGGGAGCCCAGGACAAAACGAATACCACTATGACCACAGCCGCTATTTTAGCCAGTTTCCATTCGCTCCTCAGGGAATGCTGCTTCACAAAGGTGGACTTCCTAGAGCTCAGCCTTTTTAGATCTCTAAACACACACATAATACAGTAATGAACGCTTTTCAATGATCACTCTTCAAACTCAAGCGGCCAGTGAGACCTGCTCAGACCTGCAGGCCTGTCGTACGGCGAAGAACATGTACAGGTAACAGAAGAGAATGATGGCCAGGGGGATGAAGAAGACAAAACAGCACAGCATCATGGTGTAACTCCTGTTGGCGGGAGATGGCGAGACGTAATCCCACGTGCATGATGTCATCAGACCTTCAGGGATGTAGGAACCTGCAAGAGCCATTTCATGCACACTTTTAACAGACACGGGATACTGGAAAGATGAATTTGTATTTAAAATGGGTCATTTATGTATGAAGAAATTATTTTTGAATTTGTAGCTTTCTAGACTGAGAAAAGCCAGAAAATGTGTTTTTGGCTTATGTGGATGAAAGACAACAATTCCCAGAATGCACTTGCTTCACTGCTCTAGGAGGCCACGCCTACCGGTAACAGAGCGCAGTAGTTAAACAAGTCTAGGCTACTAGAGAGTCTCGTGATGAGTCTGCCCGAAAATGTGTTTCGGGATCGCCCAAAATGTCCGGGATTGGGCTTTTGCGTTCTACAGTCGGCATTCGTTATGTTTCCTGTGGCGAGCGGGACGAGTGAGGGCCGCGGGAGAACGGCGCGAGGCCGGTGGCGTGATTACCGATGAGCGACACCTGTGAGACGCACCGGTCTCGTATCTCTCACGGAGGAGCGGGAATTTTCTTAGCAATGTTAAAACGCACATCAACCGATCACTTGTTTAGCGCTCATGTAAACACTACATTCAGATTCACCAATCAGAATTGAAACAAAAGTTGTGCATGTAAACAATGAATGGCGACTGCAGAAAGCAAAAGCTGAATCCCGGACATCGACGGCCGGACATGTCCGGGAAAAAGAGGATGGTAACTCCGACTACTCAGCTTTCTCCACAGAACAAGAGTCTGCTAACTTAGCTTCCAAAACAAGATGGCCGACACTATGTGTTCATTCTGTGAGTGAGATCGCCCTCTATGGGCGGGTTGAGAACATGCAGGACAGACCCTACTACTGACTGTAGTCTTTAGCCTCTGGACAATAAATCCTCAGATGACGCAAAATGACGATTTTTTCATCATCAGAGGATTTTTTCCAGACTAAAAATACATAAATCTCTCGTCTCAGGGGGATATGAGGGTGGGAAACATGGTAATTCGAAAATGCTAAATCCTGAAGTATCCCTTTAAAATGACCTTGCCAACCCTATATACCTGTTTTCTTTATTATAAGTCTACATTATAGAATATTTAAATTACTGAGATTTAATAGAACATTTAAATCTTACTCCAGCCAATCAGAGGAGCCAGACTCCAGGCCAGAGAGTAGAGCCAGATGCACAGGATGGCCAGAGAGGTTCTGCGTTTGGAGTTCCACTGGATGGCCTGCAGTGGTTTGGTAATGACCAGGTAGCGATCGATAGAGATGGCCAACAGGGTTATCATCGAGGTGATGCCAAACAGTGCGCCACAGAATGCATATATTTTACATCCTATGGGCAAATAGAGAGAATACAAGCCAATACTGTGATTTACAGAATTTATAAGCCTTCAAAATATCATACATTTAGGTGAAAAGCTTGAATTTAAATTGCCTTAGACACAACTTTTTTTACAAGTTTAATTAAAAATAAAGTGTTATGTAGTGAAGTGCATGCAAAAAAAAAAACTTAAGAGTTACCAAGTTCTCCAAACATCCACTCCTTACACAGGCAGTTGATGAAGAACACTGGGGATTGTGTGATGGCCATGAGGAAATCACTCACTGCCAGGTTCACTATGAAATAATTTGGCAGGCTCCGCAACTTTTTATTACTGCACACACACACACAAAAACATTAAAATCAAGTTCAATTTTACTACTGTTAAAACAGATAGAACAGTTTATGAACAATGAATATTATGTTTGCTTCTACCTATATGTTTTTCTTCTTTCATAAAAAGATATTTTTAAGAATGTTGGTAATGGTAACCAAATGGTTTTGGTTCCCATAGACTTCCATAATATGGACAAAAAATACAGTGAAAATCAAAGGGAAACTGAACTTGAAAATATCTATAAAGAAAGTCGTTTATGTTTGGAATGACATGAGAGTGCAAATACGTCATATCCCTACTAATCTTTGTTAACTTGGTTATTGTTAAGAAATTAACAATAACTTAGGAACCTCAAAAATAACTTTAGAAAACTTAGAAATTGTTCAATAATCAAGTAAAACAAAAACTTTCATTGTTCAAGGTGAGAGGCAAATGAGAGTTATTTGGATCAAACAGATCAAATGCCCCCATTGCAGTTCTGTCCATCAATGATTCTCAGTATTCCCCGAATTCCTGGAATAGCAGTCCATTTCCTTCCACAGAAGCCCATGATTACAATAATAATCGCATCCGTTTATGGAAATGCATCAAACGTGTTATATACCTCATTCTGCAATATTCCTAATTTCTAGCACATTAAGCACTTTTTTCTCAAAGAATTATAAAAGCAATTATGGAAAATGCGGATTAGGGCTGTCCAGTGACTGTGTTTTACATAAACGTACAGTAACTTTAATCAGAGCAAGTAGGGATGGTAAAAAAAAAAAAAGAAAAAGCTTTTTACTAGTATTTCACTGCCTGCTCTAGTTTTACCTCACTGACCCAATTCACTAAAACAATTAAAGTCAATAACATATTCGAGATTTGGTGCATTATGCAAGAGATTATCTGTCACAAACAAGGAATGTTATCTGACGGACAACAAGTCCATTTAAATATTGCACCATTTTAACTCTTTAAAGTGGACAAAAAATAAACTATACTAAAAAAATTAAAGAAAAACTAGATAAGGTGACAAAAGATAACACTAAATAATGTTCATAAGGTTGCTTTTTTATTAATTGTTATTTAACTCTTTCCCCGTAAACCAATGACAACGTTTTTGGCCATTTTCACAAAAAATGTCATGGCCCCCAGAATATTTACTAAATTTACAAAACTAAACTAAACTAAAACTAATATCTGCACATATATAAAAGAAAGAACAAACCCACTGCTTTAAAAAAAAAGAAAAGTTTTTTGAAAGTTTAATTAAAAAAATTCTCTCAACATTTTGAGCAAAAAGTTGAGAGAATCACGTTTTTGTTAAAGACTACATCTGGATCAGATTCAGAACGATGATCAAAACACAGATTCAGTAGATCGAATCCATGAACACCCTGCACAGTTTTGATTTATATGCTATTTAATGTTGATGATCGCTTTATTTTAGATATGATTACCAATCATATTGATTGTTTTTGCATCTTTGTCGCATGTGTTTTGATCTAGATATTCAGTACTCTTTCAGAAGATGCATAATAGCGCTCCCATATAAGAGTGAAAACACGGAAAGACGGTTTCAAGTTGTTTCATCAGTGTTGTCTCGCAAATGACAGAAATTTCCGTCAATGGCGAGAAAGAGTAAATCATATTTGCACGAACAAAAGTGAATAAAAAATACTTATTATAACACATAAACAATACAGAACCTGGAACAGACTGAACTAAAGGCTTAAATACACAAGGGAGCAATCAACGGAAAACAAAACAGGCATGATTCTAATTAACAACCATGGAAAACAACAAATAACTGGCTCAGACGAAAACCAAACTAAAACACAACTGACAGAACTAAACAGTAACAGAACGGGGAGCGAAGAGAGTCGAGCAGAAGGAGCCAGGCGGGGACCCAGACCGCAGCCAGGACGAAGGCCCACAGCGGAGTCGGAGGAGGAAGGAGCCATGGCTGGGGACGACCGACAAATTTGGAGCCCCAGGTGGACAAGAAAAGCAAATAAGACCTCGCGACACTATGGATCTGGGGACCAAGGCGGAGCTGCATCGACGAGGATCCGAGGTTGAGCCAGGGTAACAGAGGACTGAGGTGGAGCCGGAGGGAAGAGATGCTGAAGGAGTGCAGGGACGAAGCACACCTGAAGGTCATGAAATCTGTACTGGAGGGACAAGGGAGGTCGGTGGAGCAGTAAGGACGATCGTCCCAGGTGGAGCCGAGTAAGGGAAGAGCCAAGATGAAGGGACTCGGCAGCTGGAGGCGAAGCCAGACTCTATCCTTTTGACAAGGCGGACCCGAGGCACATCCACACAGCAAAGTGGATTCAGAGGAGGGGCCGAGGGACTAGGGGGGCCAGCGGAGGCGTGGAAGATGAATCTGGCCGGTAGGAGAGGTGGGCTTGGCGGGATCCTTGGAGACATGGGAGACTTGGAGCTGGGCGGGATCAACGAGAATCGGAGACAGGGAAATATCCACTTCCATTCCCTCATAATAGTTAACAGAGGCCGATGGGAATGTGGGCGTGGCTCTACTCCATGCCCTCGAACTCCACGAGGACACTCCCAGTGACAGATGGTGTAGCCGGCTCATTCAATCTGGTCAGACAATCCGTTAGGCTCGGACTGGGCTGGCTGGCTGGGTTCTGGGTCTTGAGTGGGGCTGGTGATGTCCTATTCTGTCCTATTCACCAGGACCCAGTCCACACGAAATCTCCCTGAGGACTAACACCGGGCAGGCGTGCCTTGGATTGCTCGCTGAGGCTGGTAAAGTAGAACACACAAAGCAAGCAATCTGGATAGTGTCACGACACACACAGGAGAGAGACTGCAGATCTCTCAATTGCAGTATGATGTTCCTTTTATTTGGGTAATCCGTAAATCATAATCCAGTCCAGGGAAGGGTCAAATACCATATAAACAATCCAAGATGCAACACAGAACACCAGGAATAGGTAAGCACCAACCAAGAAGTGTCAGACATTAACAAGGACTCCGTAATGAACACTGATGGTGCGTTCTATTATTCATCCGTCTCGGAGTTCCGAATCGGACGACAGACGTTGCCTAGCAACACGCCCCCACGACACAGAGCAAGAATTCCGTTTCGGAATTCAAGATGGCTGCGCCCTGTGACTTGTAAGAATGAATTCTTTTCATTGTTTTTGAACCGCTTTGGTGTTTTAAATGACAATAATCACTCGTATTACTGCGTCCCCTGTAGGTATGGGAGTCGGTTGTTGTGAGTGCAATTACTAACGTTGCTAGCGTTGCTAACGGAAGATTAACATGAAAAACATTAAATAAAGTGAACATTTTCAAGTTCAATGACTGCGTTTTGTAGTCATAATATTTTTTTTTAATGTAAGTGCCTGGTACTCAGCCAGTGCTACCATTATAACAGCTTTCCGGGTGGCGTCCATTTCTTTTCTCCGACTCGGACACGCAAAACATAATAGAACGCTTGAAGTGTGGACGTAACGTCAAATCCCAGGTCCGAGTTGGTTAGTTGGCTATAATAGAACGCACCATAACAGATAAACAGAATATATAATCACAGAACTAACAAGGTGACGGGAAACAGCCTGAGTGCAATGAACTGATGAGCGACAGACAGAATGCTGGGAAATGAAGTCAAAACGTGAAAGATACCGTGAGAACGAGGACCTCTAGTGACAACCCAGGGAAACACAACCAGGCACCGTGACAGATAGTGTGGGACATTCTAAGACTGAACTGAACACACTTACAGACTTTCCATCGACTGCAGCAATTTTAAAACACCGACTATGAGCATGACTTGGCGCATTTGCGTTCATAATTAGCCTTGCAGTCGTTAAGTGTGTCCCCGGCTTAAGGCACACCAGATCTAAGAAGTCCTTGGTGTGATCCTCTAGATTTTGCTCCTTCTTTTCTAGGCAGAGCAATTGGATGGCTAGCAAGTACATAACAGGGAAAAAACACTGCAACAAATCAAATCTAGGTTCGGTATTCTGTAATGTGTTAGAAACGCATGAACAAAAATGAATCAAAAATACTTATTTATTAAACAAAGAAAAAATACTAGGAGAAAGATATAGCAATAACACATTCACATAAACTAAACAGACTGAACTAAAGGCTTAAATATACAAGAGAGCAATCAACAGAGAACAGAACAAGTGTAAAACTAATACATATCCATGAAAACAAACAAAGAACTAGAAATCAGGCAAAGGGAAAACACAATGAACTGACAGAACTAAGCATAACTGTAGCAGAAATACTTACGCTCTTCATATTATTATATCATTTCATTTAAATTTAATGTAATTACATGCAAATGCAGTATACCATTAAAAATATCAAACAATGTACATCCACATATTAAGGGGAAAGTGACATTAAATAGTTTTTGAACGTTTACATTGTGACATATCAGCTGTCTACTCCTTCAGTAACACTTTAGAGTAAGGTCTTACTATATAAATCAATATTAACATTTGATAATGTTAGTTAACACAAACGTTCTTGTGTACAGTGCATTTATTAACGTTAATAGTGTATGTTCTGTATGATACTGTATGTTCAGATTAACATGAGCTAAGATAATGCTTTAAATGTTAGTTCATGCTTGCTAATTTAGTTAATTAATGTTAAATGAAACATTATTGTAAAGTGCTATAAAGCATTTAGCTAATTATTTTATAATGATTATGCATGCAGCTTTAATGACTTCAAAATAATATATTTACTTTTAACAAGACTAGGCCTATTTAAAAATATACTAGTGAATTTATAGAAGTTTATTTTTTTTTTACATGCATACCTAAGCATCAACTACTCGAATAGATAAAAGTGTATGAATCATGTTTAACAGAATTAATAGTAGGCTACATTAACTAACCCAGTAAGAATTAAATAATTTAATGTTTCTTACTTTATGTAAAGTGTTACCTAACATAACACCCCAAACTTTTTTGCATCAGTTGCGCTCATACCTGTAAAAGGCGAACATGACCAAAGCGTTACCCGTGACTCCCAAAGTGCCGATGATGAGGACGAGGAAGGCGATGATGTAATGCACATGATCCGGGACGTCCAATCTTTTGTATATCTGCCGTTGGGGCTCCATCATCAAACCGAACACTGAGATACACCAACTAAAACTGAAGAACAACACTTCAACAAAGCAAGCGTGAGTGAAAACTCATGGTCTCCGTCTTCTGTTTCCAGCATCACCACTTCTCAGTCTGTCATGCAGAGACTTCACTTACACTACTATCAGTAACAGCAACAGACGGATAACACAGCGACCTACTTGTCGGAGCAGTTTAGTCATGTCACATGACACACCCCACTCTCCATCATCTGTCCCACCCTTGTCTGTGTCTTCATGGTAATCTCACACACACCAGCAGCACACTATTTTCTTCAACAAGAAGAGAACATCGCATTGTGTTGAGAAGACACAAGCCGTCCGAGACTAAATGAAGCATGTGTCATATAGACTATAGTGCTTTCTGTCTGTGTTCATCAGGTCTGTAATGGATGTGGAGTCTTTTAACAGGTCAGAGGGTGAGAGTGGCAGAAGGAGAGAGTGAATGAGGGCTTGAACATGAACAGCTGCGGGGATTCATGATGCTGAGCTTAAAAAACAACAGGAACCTTTCCTGGGGTCAAACCTGTGGGACAGAGCGACCTGATCACAGCCACACTATTACAATCCATCAGTGTTGCTTTGTTAGGATTGCTAATGTACCATTCATATTTTGAATTAGTTTGAATCAGTGTATTTCTGAATAGGATTCTGTCTTTCATCAATTTCGGAAGATGCAAAAATAGTTTAAATCATTTTTTTTTTCACACTCAGTAACATTAATCACATTGAGTAAATTCTTTGTCCTCATGGACAGACACAGTACACGTTGTAGTTTTATACTTTTCACCACTTTTAATGTATTCAGTTTCAGCACCAATTTTACTTAAAGGGCAACATGACATCATGACTTTTGCGTAAACGTACACGTCACTTTCGAGTCAAGTGGCGTGTTATCTCTACGCATTTTGAGCTATCCGCGTGTATGCGCGTGTTTGCGTGTAAGTCTACGCCATTAACGTCCGCGTCATTCCGAGTGTCTGTACACGCCGTCAAATGTCCAGTCATAAATGCCATTAACCCCAGTGACGGTTAAGTTTAGGGATGGGGTTGAGGTAAGTCATATCTTTTTCTTTCCTAGGATGGTAAGGGAAGAGTCATAAATGCCATTAACCCGTGATGGTTAGGTTTAGGGACGGGGTTGAGGTAAGTCATATATTTATATAACGTTAAGTCAACGGCGTTCATAAACACACTGAAAAGCGATTATGCGTCTTGATAGCACGCCAAAAATGGAAATACGAATTGGCGTGTCATTCACACGCTACTTCATGAGATCAGTCTGTAAAGGGTTAGTTTACCCAAAAATGAAAATTCTGTCAGTATTTACTCACCCTCATGGACAGTAGACACACAGTATACTTTGTAGTTTCATACTTTTCACCACATTTAATGTATTCAATTTCAGCATTAATTTTACTTAAAGGGTTAGTTCACCCAAAAAGGTCTCATGTTGTTCCAACCCCGTAAGACCTTCGTTCATCTTCGTAACACGAATTAAGATATTATTGATGAAATCTGAAAGCTGGATCACTCCTCCATACTAGTCCATAGACGTCTTGAGGGATTGAAACTTGCCGGCCTCGAAAAGTTATTAAAGACATCGTTAAAATAGTCCAAGTGACTACAATCTTAACTTTATCAAACGACAAGGATACTTTTTGTGCGCAAAAAACCCCCCAAAATAATGACTTTATTTCAACTATTCATTTCCGTCTCTCTTGGCCTCGAGTCAGGTTACTAGTTAGTAACAGCGTATGATCTGTTGGTGTACGTCACACACATGACCAGCGTCGGCCAATAGTGAGTCTTTGTGTGACGTAGCTCTACGCAATTACACAACATGACATCATGACTTTTGCGTAAACATACACGCCACTTTCGAGTCAGGTGGCGTGTTATCTCTACGCATTTTGAGCTATCCGCGTGTATGCGTGTATGTCTACGCCATTAACGTCAAATCTCCAGTCATAAATGCCATTAACCTCAGTGATGGTTAAGTTTAGGGATGGGGTTGAGGTAAGTCATATCTTTTTTTTACCTAGGATGGTAAGGGAACAGTCATAAATGCCATTAACCCCAGTGACAGTTAGGTTTTGGGACGGGGTTGAGGTAAGTCATATATTTATATAACGTTAAGTCAACGGCGTTCATAAACACGCTGAAAGGCGATTATGCGTCTTGATAGCACGCCAAAAATGGAAATACGAATTGGCGTGTCATACACACGCTACTTCATGAGATCAGTCAGCAATTACACTAGTTTAACTGACTAGAGGCCCATAGAGAAGGAAATGAATAGTTAAAATAATAAAGCCGTTATTTATGTTTGTTTTTGCGCACAATAAGCGTTCTCGTCGCTTGATAAACTTAAGATTGAACCACTGTAGTCACTCGGACTATTTTAACAATGTCTTTAATAACTTTTCGAGGCCGGTAAGTTTCAGTCCCTCAAGAAGCCTATAGATTTCATCAAAAATATCTTAATTCTCGTTCCGAAAATGAACAAAGGTCTTACGGGTTGGAATTTTTGGGTGAACTAACCGTTTAAAGCTGCAGTCCGGCGTTTTTCCTCTTTGTCGCCATCTCTGTTCGAAATCTGCAATTGCAGTCATTCGCGGAATTATCAACTTTACGTGAGTTGTACTTCAACACCCTCGACACGGCACAGTGCGGATGAACACAATGTTTGAGGAGGTGTTCGTCAGTCACCACGCCATTGTGGAAACTGTCATTCGCAATTACACATTATTCTTTTTGGAAGTATGATTGATCAACATAAGAATTTCACCGGAAAATGTCATCTGAAGAAGTAAGAAACATCTACTTTGTTCTCGTTCTGACATTGCAGTAAATCGCATTGATTAAATTAACAATAGCTTATAAGTTATCATATCACGCAAAACCGCGCAAATTATACTTTGTTCTCTGTTGTTAAATTAAGTTTTTAACCCAACATTTGGGTTTGTCCATATTTCACACAAATTTAAATTAAAACAACCCAGCATTTTTTAGAGTAAGTCAAAATTCACAGTATTCATAAACAAGTATATAGGCAAACCCAGATTACCTCTGTCTGATGAGATTCTGAAATGTGCATCCAAGGAACACAATGCTATCCCATGAGGCCACGCGAGCGGATTTGTGAATGGCGAATGCAACTGAAGCTGTAGGTCATGATAACATGACGAATGTAAGATTACATTTATATTTCATACACAGAACATAGCCTATACTTTTTCAGAGGGATATAGTTCACCGAAAAATGAAAAAATTGTCTGTATGAGTTTCTTCCTTCTGTTGAGCACAAAAGAAGATATGTGACACAAGACGGTTCTGGGTCTTTTTTGAGTTATTCACATATTAAGCGTGGTCTCCAAGACTGTTGACAATCTTAAAAATAATAAATAAAATAAATAAATAATAAAAATAATCAAACAGTTGACGGCACCCATTAACATCAATTGACTAGTGGGGGAAAAAAATACCATTTAAAGTCAATGGTTACCGTCAACTTTGCTAAAAACTGTAGCAGAAAACAACAAAAACCAGCAAATAAAAAAATGTGTGTGTTTGTCTGCATGTTCTGCTCATCCATCTCTTTAACACCGTAATCCAGGCATCACTTCTGTTCTCTCCACGGCAGTCAACGGCATGCTATGGGATTGAAAGATGTGGGATTATAAATCTGTCCATAATCCTACATCTTAGCTAAAACCTCACTGACAATAACAGCATTACTCTAATTCAGCCTATATGACAACCACAGGAACACGACTGAGATTATATTATAGATCAAGGAATCAATCCAACTAACCTGGAACATAAGAGCTTCCAACTAATCTGAGAGATGGGTCTGCGGGATCATAACACGCACTTTCTTGATAAACACAGATGAATGTACACTACCTTTCAAAAGATTGAGTCACTACGGTTTTTAAAATAAATGTACACTTAAAGGGTTAGTTCAGCCAAAAATGAAAATTAAGTCATTAATTACTCACCCCCATGCTGTACCAACCCCGTAAGACCTTCGTTCATCTTCGGAACACAAATAAAGATATTTTTGATTGAATCTGAGAGCTAGATCAGTCCTACATAGACTGCCTAAGGGACTGGCTCTTGACGGCCCATAAAGTCATTAGAGAAAAGGTTTAAATATTCCATGTGCCTACAGCGGCTCAATTATAAGTTTATCAAGCGACGAGACTACTTTTTGTGCGAAAAAAACATAAATAACGACTTTATTCGACTATTCTATTACTTCCTTATGGGCGCATGCGCGAGAACTGAGACGAGGACGTTCTCATTCGTCTACTTCTTGTTACCGGCTGCTCACCGCTTAGGAGTTTTACCGCCCCCTACCGTATAAGATGATGATCCATATATAAGGCGCTCCGGATTATAAGGAACACTGTCGTTTTTTGAGAAGATTAAAGGCTTTTAAGTGCACCTTATAGTGCGGAAAATACGCAAATTGAAAAGCGTATGTACAGCGCGCATCTTCCTCTGCTTGTAAACAGAAAGTTTTGCGCTTGCAGCTATAGCAGCACATCATCTTATACGGTAGGGGGCGGTAAAACTCCTAAGCGGTGAGCAGCCGGTAACAAGAAGTAGACGAATGAGAACGTCCTCGTCTCAGTTCTCGCGCATGCGCCCATAAGGAAGTAATAGAATAGTCGAATAAAGTCGTTATTTATATTTTTTTCGCACAAAAAGTAGTCTCGTCGCTTGATAAACTTATAATTGAGCCGCTGTAGGCACATGGAATATTTAAACCTTTTCTTTAATGACTTTCCAAATCGTTGGACGAGGATTCAATTTGAACTAGAAACATGACTTAAACGTGTTAAAATGTGGACATGTGCGACCAATAGAGATCTCTCTATAGAGTGCCGAAGTTACAAAAGCAATCTGATGTTTCTATTGAACAGGTAAAGTCATAAGTAAGCCTCTTTACCCTGTCTTGAACAAATCATCCTTCTGTAGCATTGTGCTTTAATGTAAAAATGATCTTAAATGTTGCTGATATTAAATTCAATGTTTGTTTAATCAAGAGAATGTTTTGAAGGATGGATTAATGGTGCACAACAACAATAACATTACATTACATAAATACTATGAATGTTAGGTTGAAATGTGATTTTAACTAGTGGAGTGCAGTGATATTCTAATATGAGGAAGGCTCACAGATCAAATGTATATCATGTCCCATGCACTTAATGTTGTCACATTTTCCTGGTTCAATAAACATTGCAATGGTATTTTGTATTCATTAACTAGCTAGTGTAAATCCCTCATTCATCATTTTTTAGGCCATTTTAAAATTGATTTTGGCATGCCATAAAGCAGTGATATCCAAGTGCCCAAGTTATTTACTTACTTTTTAATTAGTCTTCCCATTAATGCCATAATTTTGCTCGTTAAGACGGATTCGCGAACGCGCACAAAAACAAGAGGCGGGATTTAACGCATGAACCAAGTCATAACCAATCATATCCCACCATAGCACGATGGAGGCGTTGGCTCCTCTCACGTGACTTTCCCCCATTCATTCTCAATTAATCCCCATCAAACCCAAAACTCAGAAAAAAATGATTTATTCACTTTTTAATGTCACATTTTGTAATATCTGTGTTGTTTAATTTTTGTTATATGGGTAATTTACTCATCCAATTGTTTGTCTCCTCGAAGGAAACCAATGCAAATGAATAATGCAAAAAGAGCAAAGTGATAAATCAACAAATTGTTTTAAAAAAATCTGATTATTGCATACAGAAAATAAGCTTTCCCTCATATTCTGTTTTCATTTCTGTAGTGAATTTGCAATTAAATCCACATTTTTTATTGTTTATGTCTTCAGGGATGGACCGATTTTCTTGGAAAGCATTATTTTGGCATTGGACATGAATCATGACTTAGTACAATTCTCTGACTCCACGTCTGGTAATCTATTCCCCAGAGAAATGAGATGTGTAACTTACCACGGCTTTAAACTTTGCTATCAGGGTCATGTGATAACTTAATCTTTTGTTGTCTTGGGATTACTTCTATTTCAGGCCAAGATGAATGTAATTCATGTAATTTTTCATTTGGAATGAATAGTTTTGATTACTTGCTGATCCCCCGTTCGGCTTAAACGTCAGCTTCGTGTGGATATATGCGTTAACCTGGGCAGAGAAAAAGAAGAGTATTTTTAGGCATTGAATATCAAAGAACAGTGTCATCATGGTTATCTCACTTATAAGGTTTCAGGCGCTTCATGTAGCATGCCCTCGATCAAGGAAGTGATTTTTACTGATGGTTTTATGATGTTTAATGTCTATGAATCTTAATCCGTTCCTACACATCACCAATGTAAGAGCTAAAATGTATACAAAACATGATCAGCTAACATTGTTCACATTCACAAGCTGTCTAACATGCAAAAACTGGCATATTAACAGACAAAATGATCTTATCTCAACTGATTTAACATACCTTTTGTCTCGTCGGATGGGCTGCAAGTATTAATTTGACGTTTACCACGACTCCGTGTGAAAGTTAATGACAAACTATATGCTATAAACCGCGCTAGCCAGGGCGCGCGCGCTTCCAAAAGAAAAACAAAAGCGTGTAGCTTAAGACCGGGAGTTAACCATTTCAGTACAAAAATTTCAAAATAAAAGAAAATCACCTTCTCTGTAACAAAATACACTTCAGGTTATTTACAATATATAACCTTTTAGGAGTTCCCTACAATTGAATTTAGTTTTGATTAATTAATGTAAACACACTTTCACTAGAAAATTTTAATATCTGTTAAACATGAAATTATTATGCAATCTATTAAGACATTACTCCTTATATAGAACTTTTTGGCATACATCGGTATTGATCATCTATCAGCTCTCTAAAAGGGTTTTCGTGGCCACAGAGAACTCTCTGAGCATACGCTGAGGGACATTGATTCACAAGCAGAGTCCAGAATCAAAACGTGTAAAATTTACACAAAAAAATGTATTTATTACTCAATCACGAACACATAACTAATCACATAAACACATAACCATGGAAAGAGTCTGAAAAAAATATCAATTTCTTATTTCATATAACGAGTTAAGAAACTGATGTTTCTTCAACATCAGTTTCTTAACTTGTTATACTCGTTAGTGTGTTTGTGTGTGTGTGTGTGTGTGTGTATATATATATATATATATAGACAGACACACAGACAGTCTATATATATGTGTGTGGTTTTAAAGAAAATTATTTTTAACATATGTATTTTTAAAGACTACCATTTTAACATATGTAGTTTTAAAGACTACCAATCTACTGTTCTGATTTTATGTAGAAAAGATTCACAGTTTGGCTTCGATAACTCTGTAATACAAGCATCTGCTAATTGACTTTAAAATAAATGTAAAGATACACCAACGCAAAATTAAGTGTCTGACATTCTTTTTATTTTATGAATAAAATCAGTAAGTCACATTTTTGATGGCAAAATGATAGGCTTTTTAAACATCAAGGCAGAAAAAAATTAAGAGATGCATTTTTATTTTTCAGACATCCATTACCTTAATAAAGAGCTACAGTAAAAAATAAACAGCTACAGTAGCTACTAAAGAGTCTTTGGGATTCATAAAAGTTTGTAGCTAGAAGGAAAAGAGAGGCCGAGCCTCTGATACAAAAGACAAATCACATCACTTTGTCCTTCCACCACTAGCAGCCTAAAACTCACAGTGCAAATATTTTACCTCAGAAAAGAGAGAGAGAGACTACTCTATGACAGCCTGACTCTTCAAAAGCTATATTCATCAGAATGAATCTTCATCTATTAATTCAGAAGTCTAAATACTGATACAAAATTAATGATAAAAAACAGACAAACAAACAATAAACAAAAATACAGTTGCCCCAATCATTGCTCTTGAAGGGAACAATGTAAATACACCTGACTAGGTTTGAACAGGAATTGGTTGCTGATTCATAAGAGCCATAACAGGAGAGTTGGAGATTTAAAAAAAAAAAAGTATGCTGTAAATTTTCCATAAGGAATAAATAACCTCTCAGCTCGCCCTGTCTTCAAACATCTGCATGCTCACTTATTAAATATGATAACATTTCCCATGATTCAAAGACATGGTTGAAAACCTCTCAGTTAATTCAGGGAAAATGCTGAAGCTAAAAAACTCCAACTAGTGCAGCAGATTAGTAAAAAAATCGTTCACTTTGGTATAGAAGCATGAAATTTGGCACAGATACTCTCTAAGGGTCACTATTTTTGAAAAAGGCGTTGGCCACAAAAAATTCAATATGGCGGCCAATTTTCAAGATGGCCGCCATTGCCTAGCAACCACCTAGTGTCATAGCAACCACCCAGAATACCATAGCAACCACCAAAAAACACCCTAGCAACCCCACAACACTAGCAACCACCTATCATCACCCTAGCAACCACTCAGAATACCCAAGAAACTGCCTAGCAATGACCTAGAAACCACAGAATACCCTAGCAACTGCCTACCAACATTTTAGTAACGACCCAGAACACACTAGCAACCGCCTAGCAACCACCTGAACACATGAATAAGCCATATCCCAGCACCAGAACATCGTACAGACATGTTTGTTGGCTCGCATGCAATCATGTACCACACCCTAGCAACCGAGTTGCGAGTTTTGCCACTGCAAGCACCCGCTCACATTTTCTTCTCGAAATGGCCATCTTGAAAATGGTCGCCATCTTGAATTTTTGAGTGGCACACACCTTTTTTCCATGATAATGTTCCTTGAAGAATATTTGTACCAAATTTCATGATAGCATCACCAGAAAAATGGTTGTCATCTTGAATTTGAGGGACAAGCACTGTTTTCCAAAAAAACATTCTGAAGAGAGTATTTTCACAAAATGTTATGCCTACATCACTGTTTGAATGATTGACATACAGTAATGAGCATTTGACCGAAATAGCGGCCATCTTGAAAAAAAGGCCGCAATGTTGAATTTTTGGGTGGCCAACGCCTTTTTCCAAAAAAAAAAAAATGACCCTTGGAGAGTATCTGTGCCAAATGTAATGCTTCTATACCAATTAGAATGATTCTCTTGAAATTCGCCATTAATCTGCTTCACTAAACTCATCACACCAAGCTAGATGCTTTTCATCAGATGGAGGGTGATGTTTGGGTCTTTAATTATCTTATACCGGTAGATGATCTTCTCAGCTGAATATTTGCGAGCTGCTGTTCCTGATATTCATAAGCTGTGGTGGATATTTTTGAAGAGTACTCGTGGATCTCGCTGGTGTTCAGTTTGTGCAGGTGTTGATGTTCTTGCCGTCAGCTGCATCGTCCACCAGAGACAGATGGTAGTCCGTGGCGAGAGTGAAATGAGAAATGCATCCCAGTAAACCTCGCATGTACTGCCTGTTAGTGTGCAACGCAATCTCCTTCATCCCACCTGGAGAGACAGAGAGAAACTTTCAAACTAGACAAATAGACTTCCCCTTCCTCTCACAGCATCATCTCTTCTCTTCTCTGATGATGTGTTCACTGGCGTGAGGGCGGAGCAACCCGTCACTCACATGAGATCCACCAATAGCAAACCACAACCATCCAATCCATTCCCCCTGACAATATCAAGTCCCGCCTTACATCTTTTCCTTACATCACTCGGATATAATTCACAATAGGGAAGAAAACACTATCATAACTTCCTTGCTGACTTTTTTCATCTTCTTACCAATGTAAAGGTCACCGTTGATGTTGAGCTGTCTCATCTTACCCGGAGATCTGCCTGTTTTAGCTCCGTAATCATCGACAGTTAGTTTACCAGACTGGCCATCCCTTTAAACAGAGACAAACTTGGTAAAATGGTGCAAATACCCTCAAATTAATCTATATGACAGTCTATGAAGAAAGACATGCTGAATAATGATTCGATGCACGTGTCTGACCTGACAGCCTTCACTCTGTGCCATTTCCCATCACTAAACGTGCCATTAACGACCACAGTGGCGGCTCCACTACCGAGATTATAACTGTAAGGAGAATAAGAGATGTTAGGGTGATGCTTTTGATCGTCTATTGTAAATTGTCTGCAAAACTGCATGAATGTAACGGACATGTCGCTATACCTGAAAATGAGCGCTCCCTCTTGAAGGCCGAGAGACAGGTAGTCACTGTTGGCTCTCATTGGACTGTCCCCCCGCCATAGTAAAAGGCCGTCTTTGGACGTGCTCTTAAAACGCATGAACATATTTGTTCTGGAACCTGATATCCTGCAAAGACATGCAACATTATATTAGGATGTGTGTGTGTTATTCACTAGATGCTAGTACTTATTCACTAGATACTAGTACTTATTCACTAGATGCTAGTACTTATTCACTAGATGCTAGTACTTATTCACTAGATACTAGTACTTATTCACTAGATACTAGTACTTATTTACTAGATGCTAGTACTTATTCACTAGATCCTAGTACTTATTCACTAGATCCTAGTACTTATTCACTAGATGCTAGTACTTATTCACTAGATACTAGTACTTATTCACTAGATGCTAGTACTTATTCACTAGATGCTAGTACTTATTTACTAGATGCTAGTACTTATTTACTAGATGCTAGTACTTATTCACTAGATACTAGTACTTATTCACTAGATGCTAGTACTTATTCACTAGATCCTAGTACTTATTCACTAGATACTAGTACTTATTCACTAGATGCTAGTACTTATTCACTAGATGCTAGTACTTATTCACTAGATGCTAGTACTTATTCACTAGATGCTAGTACTTATTTACTAGATGCTAGTACTTATTCACTAGATCCTAGTACTTATTCACTAGATACTAGTACTTATTCACTAGATGCTAGTACTTATTCACTAGATGCTAGTACTTATTCACTAGATGCTAGTACTTATTCACTAGATGCTAGTACTTATTTACTAGATGCTAGTACTTATTCACTAGATCCTAGTACTTATTCACTAGATGCTAGTACTTATTCACTAGATGCTAGTACTTATTCACTAGATGCTAGTACTTATTCACTAGATGCTAGTACTTATTCACTAGATGCTAGTACTTATTCACTAGATGCTAGTACTTATTCACTAGATGCTAGTACTTATTCACTAGATGCTAGTACTTATTCACTAGATGCTAGTACTTATTCACTAGATGCTAGTACTTATTTACTAGATGCTAGTACTTATTCACTAGATCCTAGTACTTATTCACTAGATACTAGTACTTATTCACTAGATGCTAGTACTTATTCACTAGATGCTAGTACTTATTCACTAGATGCTAGTACTTATTCACTAGATGCTAGTACTTATTTACTAGATGCTAGTACTTATTCACTAGATCCTAGTACTTATTCACTAGATACTAGTACTTATTCACTAGATGCTAGTACTTATTCACTAGATGCTAGTACTTATTCACTAGATGCTAGTACTTATTCACTAGATGCTAGTACTTATTTACTAGATGCTAGTACTTATTCACTAGATCCTAGTACTTATTCACTAGATGCTAGTACTTATTCACTAGATGCTAGTACTTATTCACTAGATGCTAGTACTTATTCACTAGATGCTAGTACTTATTCACTAGATGCTAGTACTTATTCACTAGATGCTAGTACTTATTTACTAGATCCTAGTACTTATTCACTAGATGCTAGTACTTATTCACTAGATGCTAGTACTTATTCACTAGATGCTAGTACTTATTCACTAGATACTAGTACTTATTCACTAGATGCTAGTACTTATTCACTAGATGCTAGTACTTATTCACTAGATCCTAGTACTTATTCACTAGATACTAGTACTTATTCACTAGATGCTAGTACTTATTCACTAGATGCTAGTACTTATTCACTAGATCCTAGTACTTATTCACTAGATACTAGTACTTATTCACTAGATGCTAGTACTTATTCACTAGATGCTAGTACTTATTTACTAGATGCTAGTACTTATTCACTAGATCCTAGTACTTATTCACTAGATACTAGTACTTATTCACTAGATGCTAGTACTTATTCACTAGATGCTAGTACTTATTCACTAGATGCTAGTACTTATTCACTAGATGCTAGTACTTATTTACTAGATGCTAGTACTTATTCACTAGATCCTAGTACTTATTCACTAGATACTAGTACTTATTCACTAGATGCTAGTACTTATTCACTAGATGCTAGTACTTATTCACTAGATGCTAGTACTTATTCACTAGATGCTAGTACTTATTTACTAGATGCTAGTACTTATTCACTAGATCCTAGTACTTATTCACTAGATACTAGTACTTATTCACTAGATGCTAGTACTTATTCACTAGATGCTAGTACTTATTCACTAGATGCTAGTACTTATTCACTAGATGCTAGTACTTATTTACTAGATGCTAGTACTTATTCACTAGATCCTAGTACTTATTCACTAGATACTAGTACTTATTCACTAGATGCTAGTACTTATTCACTAGATGCTAGTACTTATTCACTAGATGCTAGTACTTATTCACTAGATGCTAGTACTTATTTACTAGATCCTAGTACTTATTCACTAGATGCTAGTACTTATTCACTAGATGCTAGTACTTATTCACTAGATGCTAGTACTTATTCACTAGATACTAGTACTTATTCACTAGATGCTAGTACTTATTCACTAGATGCTAGTACTTATTCACTAGATGCTAGTACTTATTTACTAGATGCTAGTACTTATTCACTAGATGCTAGTACTTATTCACTAGATGCTAGTACTTATTCACTAGATACTAGTACTTATTCACTAGATGCTAGTACTTATTCACTAGATGCTAGTACTTATTTACTAGATGCTAGTACTTATTCACTAGATACTAGTACTTATTCATTAGATACTAGTAATTATTCACTAGATACTAGTACTTATTCACTAGATAATTTTAATTAATTTAATTAATTTAACTGGCCGTTCTGACAAGTCATAACTTAAGACTCGTAAAAAAGCAGTTGTGACTAGTAAGATAAAATTAGTTACTAGTAGCAATTACAAAAGATACTAGTGTCTAAAAAATAGGTACTAGTATCTATTGAATAAGTACTAGTATCTAATGATTAAGTACTAGTTAACTAGTTAAGTACTAGTATCTATTTAATAGGCACTAGCACATAATGAATAACTACAATTATCTAATATATATATTTACTAGTCACAATTGGAATACATACTAGTCAGAACTGAATAGTTGATACCTGATTGACAGATCCCCATAGAAGTCAATGTAAAAAAAATTAATTGTTACTAGTAACAAAATAGTAGTTACTAGACATGATTGAAATAAGTACTAGTATCTAATGAATAAGTACTAGTCACTATTGAAATAAGTACTAGTATCTAATGAATAAGTACTAGTAACTAATAAATAAACACTGGTATCTAATAAATAAGGACTACTATATAATAAATAAGGACTATTATCTAATGAATAAGTACTAGTATCTAATAAATAAGTACTAGTATCTAATAAATAAGTACTAGTATCTAATAAATAAGTACTAGTATCTAATGAATAAGTACTAGTAACTAATAAATAAGCACTGGTATCTAATAAATAAGGACTAGTATCTAATAAATAAGGACTATTATCTAATGAATAAGTACTAGTATCTAATGAATAAGCACTATTACTTAATGGATTAGATACTAGTATCTAAAAAATAAGTACTCGTTGCATGAAAATAGAGACTAGTAGGTTAAAATGATTTAATGTTAAAACAGCTTGCCATTTGCACAGAACCTTCATATGGAGAATATGATGTGAAAGCAAAAGCACCTTTTGAGGATATCTCTGTTGTCATATGTCAGATAGCTGCGTCCAGTGAACTGAGGGATCTCTATTGATTCAGTAACAGCTGATACAACAAAAGTAAAAGAGTGCAGAGTTATTTAACATCCACTAGATGGTAGCACACATCATAAATTACTGTTACTCAGTAAACAAATGAGAGACATTCTGCCTTAAGCACTTACTGTTTAAGCAATAATTTCCACATTCTGCACAGTGAGAGCACAAAACAGAATAAAATAAGCTTAAGAAAGGGTTTGAAGTGTTATGGAAGAAGTCTGCAAAGAATATCAAAGCAACGTCTCAGTCTAAAGCTAAACCCAAAATATGCTATATCTAATCAATTAAATTGTGGCAACAGATTACAAGCAATATTATTAATTAAATGTAACAAATTAGAATTAAGTAATAATGAAGCAATTTCTTCCTTAAAAGTTAACCATTTAAAATGAGTAAAATTTACACCAAAAAATTCAACAAAAATATATGAATAACAGGCAGACGTCAAAGATTAATTCGGAACTCTTAATTAGACACCAGATGTTAACAAGCAGAATTAAACCGTAAACTTTTAAGAAATTAAGAAAACCGTAATTTTAAAACAAGCCTAAAACAAACACTGATCACCATAATGGTGACTTAAATTTACTTAAAAAAAAAAAGTTTTACTCATTTTAAAATGGAATTAATTTAATTAATTACTACTCAATTCCAATTTGTTAAATTGAATTAATAATATTGCGTGTAATCTGTTGCCATAATTTCTTTGATATAAAGCGCATACATTTTTACAGTGCAGAAGGAAAGGGTTCAGTTAGTGCTCAATCCTTCTGTTGGAGATCTGCCTTCAAGCTGAGTTAATGTCAAACCTCTACTAATAATATAATATGAAATATGCAATAATAAGTAGTCTGCACTGTTTTCAGTTACCATCATAAAGTTATTTGCATTTTTTAATCTAATTTTGTATTTAAAAAAGCCATTATAGGAGCATATACAGTATGCTTTAGAGTTGTGTGTGTGTTTTCTCACCTTTCTGACAGTGTTTCCCATCATACCCAAGCGCACAGTCACAGTCGTATCCGTCCCACTTGGGTCTGCATGTTCCCCCATTAGCACACGGGTTCTCCACACATGGGTGAGCTGCGTTCAACACGTTCACCCCAAAAGCCTGACCTGGATTCAGCTCTATACTGCGGTCGTTCAGAGAGATCTGGGTCAGGAGGAAAGAATGGAAATTATTTGACCATTTTAAGATGAAATCTGCACATGGATCTCACACACAGTGGTGAACAGTCAGATTCTGATTATTAAAGGGTGGATGAGTAATTACTGACAGAATTTTAATTTTTGGGTGAACTATCCCTTTAACGTTGTTATGTGGTTGTCAGGGGACTTTGGGTGTTTTTAGTATCTTTAACCAATATCTACTGTCTAAATTAGTACCTTCTGAACCGTTCCACTGAAGGGTCTCAGGACGCCAGCGCTCGTCTTAGTAATATCATAATTAGGAACTCCTCCAATATACAGAGGAGAACTACACTTTATCTGTGTAAATGCACCCTGAGAAAAAGAAGAGAGAGAAAGATGATTATTATTATTATTATTACAATATATACTTACAAAATAATCTTAGAATGCATTCAGATCCCTTGTATTACACATTTATTTCGGATAGAATAGATTATCTGATGCACAATAGCCCATACAACATGAAAAGTGATAAAAGGTTTTCAGTCTGCCACAATAAATACAATAATATACAAAAATGTAGTTACAAGGTTTGAAATGATTTATGACTCTTGGTGGGTCCCCTAAAATGTGTGTAATTATAAAATGATTAAAAAAAATCTGAAGACTACCTTGTTACACTATGTAGCCTACTGTAGGCAAAATATATATGGGTACTCATAAAATTAAATAAGTTACATTGAAAAAATTATAACTGTATTAATGAGATTATTTTAAATATGTTTTGAACATACAAATTGAAATAAGGAATGTTGAAAAGAATGATACTTTGAAACCGCCAGTAGGAGGCGGCAGGCGGCCATCTTAATGAGCGAGTCATTGAGTCATTCATTTAAACGATTCGTTCAAATGGCGGATTTATTCAGCAATGAATCAACTCCTCACTCGCCCTGATTGCTGCCTCGCGCTAGGAAATAAATTACTGTTATAAATATAAAACGTCACTAAAGACCTATATGAATGATACTTTGAAACTAAACCGCTAGTAGGAGGCGGCAGGCGGCCATCTTAATGAGCGAGTCATTAAGTCATTCATTTAAACGATTCGTTCAAATGGCTGATTTATTCAGCAATGAATCAACTCCTCACTCGCTCTGATTGCTGCGTCGCGCTAGGAAATAAATTACTGTTATAAATATAAAACGTCACTAAAGACCTATAATTTTCACAATCATTTTTTATGTTAAAATATATCTGTCGGGGACCCCCCCAAAATCCATAAATAAATTCTTATGGGGGGTCCCTAATGACTTATCGGTAGTCCAGTTCGAAATGTGTATTTTGGAACTAAATGTGTAAAGGACGGTACATAAATATATTCATTTTAAATCTAAATACACTACCAAAAAGTTAAGATTGTTTTTAAATTAGAGCAAGGGCACATTCAATTGATCAAAAGTGACATGTTACAAAAGATTTATATTTCAAATAAATGCTGTTCCTCTGTACTTTCTATTCATTCATTTTTATAAAAGTTTCAAAAAAAAATATTTAAAAATAATAAAAAAAATATATATTAAAAAAATATCACCCAACTGTTTTCAACATTGCTAATTATAAGAACTGCTTCTTGAGCATGATTTTTGAAGGATCATGTGACACTGAAGACTGGAGTAATGATGCTGAAAATTCAGGAATAAATTACATTTTACAATAAAATACAATAGAAAACAGTTATTTCATATTGTGATAATATTTCGCAATATTACTGTACAATGGTACTGTATTTTTGATCAAATAAATGCTGCTTTGGTAAACATAAGATACATTTATCCAAAAATAAATAAATAAATAAACATACCAACCCCAAACGTTTAAACGCTAGTGTATATGATTCAAAATAATCTCTTCACCTCTGCCATGCCTTCCACTGGTCTCTGGTTGTCTACCTGAAGAATGCCATTTTTCGCTGTTCGAGACACACGCAACTCATGCCACACACCCAAAGTGACGGCCTCTTCACTCCTGTCAACAGAAGCAAAAATATAGTTTCTGGTCCTACACAATATTTGACACCTGTGGATCTACTAAAACAGGAAAGGGACTCATATGTTTAGCATACTCAACCTGATAACACTAGCACCCGAGCCGCAGTCGAAGCGAAACTCCACATATCCGTCCACCAGGCTGACTGACAGGAAGTCCCGGCTGGCGACATCATCGGTGTAGAGGAGCGTGCCATCGGGATTGGTCGGCTGGAAGGTCACCTCAAACTCCATGAAGGATAGGTAGTTGTGGGAGGGCTGAGGCCAGGGGGCGCTGGCGTACGAGAACATGCTCTCGTTAAACTGGGGTAGAGACAACAGGAAACCTGTAGCCATTGAGAAATATGAAGTCGGGTCAGTGTCTTTTTTTCACAAGGATTCCCCAGCACACAGGAGGGAAGAGACAATAAAAACCACTTGACTAAGTATATAGAAATTATAAATATGAGTGGTTCTTGATGCCACAAAGCGTGTGTGTGTGTGTGTGTGTGTGTGAGGGTGACTCACTCTCCTCACAGAGGAGGCCCTTATAGCCCAGAGGGCACAGGCAGATGAAGCCATCGGCTCGGTTGGCAAAGCAGATTCCTCCATTAGCACAGGTGACCTTCTCACACACACTGTTGCTGCACTCGCCTGAAACACACAGATAAGAGGAAGATATACACATATAGACCATTTCACAAGATGTAAACAACACTGGTCCAGAAACACTTCCTGTTTCAGTTTGTAACTGTTTTCTTTATTTCACATGTAAAGAAACATCTTAAAGATGTTTGTTTAACTTTATGATTCAGTTTTAAATGTTCTGTTGGTTGTATTTTATCCCAGCTTTTATGTAGTGTTAAAAAACTGAAACAGGAAGTGCTTCTGCTTGTGAAATGGTCTATACAGTGATCCCTAAAAGTATGTGGACATTTAAACATGTCTATATATCATTGCATTAGATCACTACAGAAAAACTTTGGGGTCAATGATTTTTATAATTTTAATAATAAAATTAAGTCTCAGGAAGGGGGTGTTTATTTAGTTCAAAAATACAGTAAAAGCATTATTGTCGTGAAATTTTATGTTAATATATTTTAAAATGTAATTTATTCCAGTGATGCAGTCTTGTCACTTTTGATTGATTTAATGTATCCTTGCTAAATAAACATATTAATTAATATTTTTTTGAATCTTACCGACCACAAATTTCGAATGTTAGTGTAAAATATTTTACCTCCTGAGATTTTAAGCAGCTAAACAAATAAAATATTTTTAAGTGGTTTATTTTGATTGCTATACGCCTTATTCACGTCAGCGCCATCTTTGATTTTTAATGAGAATAAAAGCGAGGCTGTGAGGGACAGATATGTATCTCTTCAATGGGCTGGACTGTTATTTATTGTGTTTTCGGATTGTTCTGCTCATGAAACACTGGAAAAATATCTTTCCAAGAAATTTCAGTTGACAAAAAACTCAAGACAATGTAAGCTGTGGAAAATTGTAAGTAATCTAGCCGCTTTATTCAGCTTTTTACAGTGGATGCCATTGGAAACACGGTAAGTCTATCCCTCACGGCCTCACTTTCATACCTGTCATGGCGCTGCTCTGAATAAGGTCTATTATTTTAATTTTACATTTATGACTTAATTGATAGCTTTAAAATAGCAAAGCAAGTGATATTTATTCCAAAGAAAAATAAACAAGCATACTTTAGACAAAACGTTTGAGAAAAAGAAGAAACTTTAGACTAAACTTATTTGGACACACTTATTATAGTTATTCTCCAACTAACCAATGTCTGCTCCGCTCAGTGCATTTCCTTTCGGCCAGGGTCGGATGTCAGTGGCTTTACTGTTGACCGTCAGACTCTGCATGCAGCCCTGAAACCCACGATTGGTCCCCACCGCCCTCACCAGCCAATAGCCATTCGGAGCTCCACCCAAAAACAAAGGCGTGCGGAATGTTATTTTAGTGTACTGACCCTGAGAGAGAGAGAGACAAAGAATAGAGGTTGTTAGATACCTTTTATAGTCCCGGGTAGGGTTGGGTATCGTTTGAATTTGAACGATTCTGATTCCGATTGTGATTCCTTGTTTCGATTCCGGTTCCTAACGATTCTCGATTCCGATTCTTTTAAGAGGCAGGGTCAAAAATGTTTAGCTAACCTTGCTAACCAACGGCCTTTCTGAAGGAAAGGATCCTTTCTGAAGGAAATACTCCTTCTGTAAAAATACTCCTTTTGTCACAAATTTTGCATTTTGCCGAGATTTCGTTATTTTTAGAAAAGTGAAGCCACACTTTGGATCGCCGACGTAAGCTACTCATGTTCGACTCGCGTGGTTAAGCCAACACTTCCGGTAGACGCTTCTTCGTTGGTGTTGTTCAGCGGTTTCTTCTTCCACTCGGTGGACTTTGAATATCGAAACTAGGAATCGAAATTTTAACTTTTGAACGATTCCGGGAAAAACGAAAAGTTAGTCTCGGTTCCAATCGATACTCGATTCTCGATACCCAACCCTAGTCCCGGGGCCAGTTGCATAAACATAGCCAGCATCTTAAAGGTGCATTGTGCAAGTCTCTAAGTTTTCGCAGAACTACGCCCCCTCTGGTGACAAGCAAAACTGCAACACGAGGTGTGAACACTCATGGAGCTGTTCATAACCAAAGCAGCATCAGCCACACAAATCTTGTTACAGTCATAATGTCTTCAGAGGTAATAAAGTTATAAATCTGCAAGTCATTTTAAATATATGAAAGGAAAGGCATTTGATTACACAATTATGTGTGTGTGAGGGGGAAACAGGGGTAGTAGAAAACTTCGGTTTTTGAATCTCCATGTTGTTATGTGCTTACTGTATCCTCTTATGAATGTATTATTATGGAAACACGTTCATAAACAATACAAGTTATTACTTTGTATAGGACCCGTTTGATGCCCGAGAGCCGACCGGAGATCTCTCCATTTGTTGAAAGCTTCCCGATGTCGACTCTCGTCTTATTCCGACGCCTGGCACTAGACAAACGTTTTCTTTTCTTTGTCTTACGTGGAGTTTGCGTTGGGGTTTTGAATGAACTACAAGCCGGTCTCTTTGAATCCATCTTCTACTTTTGTGGAAAGTTGACTAAAGTTTTGTCGCTCGAGTTGTCTTCGCTGAATGGCGGGGAATACACAAACCTGCCAGACATAGCCAGGCGAGCGATGCATGAAGTCACGCCCAGTCTCAAACTCCGTTTGGACTTCCGTAAGAACGATTGGAACCAAGCAGTTGTTTGGCACCATTGACTTCCATAGTAGAAACAAAAAATACTATGGAAGTAAATGGTGCCAAAGTTCCAATCGTTCTTCAAAATATCTTCCTTTGTGTTCAGCAGAAGAAAGAAACTCATATAGGTTTGCAACAACTTGAGGGTGAGTAAATGATGACAGAATTTTCATTTTTGGTCTAGTATGAGCCACTAGCAGTTAGTCAAGGGGCAACCAGTCATAATTTTTGGCTTAATTTTCCTGATTTTTGTTTTAATGTTATGAACAGTCTTATTTATTTTATGTCTAACTTGTCATACTAGCAACCAGCTGATTGGTCAATGCAGTTTGTGTATTAGGGCATGCGTACCTGAGAACGGCCTGATACCGGTGTGTCATTATCTAATCGTAGCCAGCCATTCATGCCGTCTCGAAATATTGTGACGGTGTGCCACCGACCAATCACAACAGAGCTTTCACTCACGATCTGCGCCGCCCCCGTACCGCAGTTAAACCTGCGCACATGATAGTCAAGATCAATTACTAATAATCAATGTAAATTCAGAGAATTAAAACAATTAAGAAAGTAATCAAGACTCAATAGCAGAAGTGTAATGTGCACTTGCAAGGAAGGAAGTAAAACAATGAAAGAATGATAATTTTAGATTAATATTAATAGATGAATAGATATAAGTGGAAAGAACAATCATGATTCAATGTAAGCAAAGAGTGTCAGAACAACAAACAAACAAACAATGACAATCCAGTATGCAAATATTAATATGAGTGTGTGTATGTAGTAATAGTCAGTGTTGGGTAAGTTACTCTAAAAAAGTAATTAATTACTAGTTACTAATTACCTCTTCAACAGTGTAATTAGATTACTGTACTAATTACTCTCTCTAAAAAGTATTTAATTACTTTTAATTACTAATTACTTTCAAAATCCCATATCAATCTCAACCATTCTGAATAATTTAAGGATAGATTAATTCTTTCAAATAAATACTATAAAATTGCATGAATTATCCGTAAACTGACCAAGGTGAAGGTTACATAATAAAAACATACTTTTTAACATCAGACATTTTGATGTTGAACCTACTATTGTTTTATGTCAGATCTCATGACATTTCTCACTTTTTTCATACATATTTTACAAGACGACTAATTCATATACGAATTTGTACGAGTGCGGTCGTAATATTTAGACACCTCATAAAATGCATACGAATCGCTGTGAGATCGGATTGATCCATACGCAGTATTTACCTTAATTACAACAGAAGTAACTGTAATTAAATTACAGATAAATGAAGAGTAATCCCTTACTTTACTTTTTCAAGGGAAAAGTAATTAAATTACAGTAACTAATTACTTAGTAATTAGTTACACCCAACACTGGTAATAGTTAATAAGGTCTTTTAAGTATGAATTACAGTTATTTCAAATACAGAGCACATCTATGGTGGCTACAAAACAAAGCTTGGTTGAAATCTGCATGAACTGAAAAATAAATTGTAGAGATTAAAGTGTTTGCAGGAACCATAATTAAGACTCAATTTAAATTGGAGATACCTGTAGTGTAGTTTCCCCCGTATGAGGGCCAGGGAGGTGAAATCTCCTCGACCGTGTTCATTCTCTCCACAATACAACAGCAATCCATCCCCAGCCTCCGCCTGAGAGGTCAAAGCAGTGATTCATAAGAGTCCGGTCTCATACACCTCTCAAACGCTTCAAAGTCTGCCAGTATATGTGATTATACCTTAAACTCCAGGCTGATCTGGAAGCCCTGGTATGAGTTTTTAAGTGGTTCAAACGTCATGTGAGAATAGCCATAGAACTTCGGGAAATTTACCATCAGACCTGCAGAACACAGATATGTGGTTACATTAGTTTTGAAATCATTTTTTGCATTTACACACCCTCCGTATAATGTGGTACATTACTTGGGAGTCTATAGAGCCAAACACTGTGATTGAAGGTCATGGAAAATGATTTCTTTCAGTCCGTTTGGACAAGCTTTCTGGCCCGGTGTCGTCTTCTGTGACGGAGTTGGGGTTACAGAGCGTTTCATCTCTTGGGCACAAATCCCATAGTTCATTACTGCCATGTCACATTCATTTCACAGACCTACAACATGACCCATTAACACAAACCCTAATTAAACCCAAACTGAAGGGCACCTAAACTACTGTTCTGAAGTTTAGAGTCTGTAATATTGTGAAATATTATTCAAATTTTGTATATTGTAAAATGTAATTTATTCATGTGATCAAAGCTAAATGTTCAGCATCATTACTCCAGTCTTCAGTGTCACATGATCCTTCAGAAATCACTCTAATATGATGGTTTACTGCTCACGAATCATTTCTTACCATTATCAATGTTGAAACCGGTCATGCTGCTTAATATTTCCACTCATTATTATTCTTTGATGAATAGAAAGAACAGCAATTATTTGATATATGTCTTTTGTAAAATTGTACATGTCTTTACTTTTGATTAATTAAATGTACCCTTGCTGAAACTCTGACTCCAGCCAAACTTTTGGTAGTGCTGCAAACAAAGGATCAGAACATAAACTTTTCCAGATATAAATATTTAAAATCGACCATCTTTCTCCACTCAGAATATGGACTAAAAGACAAGACAGACCACAACAGAAGTCCAACAAAATGCCCTTAAAAGCACACACACAAACATTATATATATATATATATATATATATATATACTATATATATATATATATATATACTGTATGTATACTGTATGACTTATTCATTCTTTCCCTCATTTTAGTAAATGGTGACCAAGTTGAACTAATTCGTTTTCTCGTTTTGATATAACTAAAACAAGGACAAATTATTACAACGTGGCCACGATTCACTTAAAACTACAGAGAATGAATTAGTAAAATGTGCTGACATATTAATAAGTCAAGGAAACGAATTGTTAATTCATTACCACAATATACATATTTTTTTGTCCGAATCTCGTGTCAGGGCCCCATAGTGTAAGTCTGGAACTAATGGAAAGCATAAGTGCTCCCCCTAGAGGCTGAATGAATATGTGATAGGCTTTTATTACCCAAGATGATGTTACTTTTGACACTCAAAATTAGTTCAGCTCACTAGAATAGTGAAGCAATTTTCAGCAAAACTTGTATATATTGCATTTAAACATATTGAAACTGGTATGCAATGTGAGAGATTTAGAACAATGAAGCAATATCTAGTCTGTGGAGTCAACGTTATTGAGCTCGCTCTGAAAAGGTTAGACCCAAAGAGACATCCCAAAGACAAGAGAGAGACAGATGGAGGAAACGAAAATCAAATGAAAAAGGAAAAGAGACAAATTCTTCCAGCATTTGAGAGAGTGTTTAGTAGATTTCTAAGGTTTTTGATCTTATTTAATCGAACTTTTAGAGAAATGTAGAGAAATTTGCAGACATGTCCTTCTGGGCAGGGTGTTGGTGAGAAGACATGGTCTAATTCAATAACACCATTTAAAGGGATAGTTCACCCAAAAATGAAAACTCTGTCATCGTTTACTCACCCTCAAGTCATTCTAAACCTGTTTGACTTTCAAAATTCAAGATATTTTAAAGAACATTGGGAACCAAGCAATATTGGAGCCCACTGACTTCAATAGTATGAACAAAAAAATAAAATTCAGTATTTTCAGTTTTTAACCCAGGTTTTCCCCATGTTCCAAAACAGGGACTACCTGTTTGAAAGTTTTTTTAGTATCACTGATATAGTTTCTTTTTAAATATTTTGAATTTTATTTTTTATTTTCTGTTTTGAGTGCGAGTGTGAGTAAATGATAGCATTTTTGAGTAATAATAAAATAATAATAATTAATTTTATTTGTGGGTGCCTTTCAGGACACTCGAGGACACCTTACAACAAAATGCATAGTTATACAAGAAAACAACAACACAATAAATAGTACAATTAACACTATAAGTAACCTATCTCTTTAAAGGAGCAGTTCACTTTTAAAAAAACTTTCGCTGATAATTTACTCACCCCCATGTCATTCAAGATGTCTGTGTCTTTCTTTCTTCAGTCGAAAAGAAATTAAGGTTTTTGATGAAAACATTCCAGGTTTTTTCTCCATATAATGGACTTCATTGGGAACCAAACGGTTCAAGGTCCAAATGAGATTTTTAGTGCAACTTCAAAGGGCTTTAAACGACACCAGACGATGAATAAGTGTCTTATCTAGGACCCTTCGAGTCATGACTCGAAAAAAGATTTGTTCATTTGATGAACAATTTTGAACAGGAGAGTCATGAACACGCATCACAGAACAGAGCAAGGCGAGCATTTGTGCTTATAAAACTTAAACTTTGTCATTTATTTATTAAATGAGCGATCGTTTCGCTAGATAAGACCCTTATTCATCGTCTGGAATCGTTTAAAGCCCTTTGAAGCTGCACTGAAACTCTCATTTGGACCTTGAACCGTTTGGTTCCCATTGAAGTCCATTATATGGAGAAAAATGCTGGAATGTTTTCATCAAAAACCTTAATTTCTTTTTGACTGAAGAAAGAAAGACATCTTGGATGACATGGGGGTGAGTAAACTACTCCTTTAAGTTTCCTAGAATGTTAGCAAAACGTAAAATCACTTCTAGATTAATTTTTGTGTTGTGAAGCTCCGCCCACAGTGAAATCATATTAGTAATCTAACAAATACTACACACAGCATATTCACTCTGAAACGGACAGAACTAACTAACCTTCTGAGCAGAGGTCTCCCTGTCGACCGAGGTTGCAGTGACACCGAGAGCCGCCGGTATCGTAATCATTGATGCAGAAGCTGTCAGGAGGGCAGACCGTCTCGTCACATGACACGTCGTAGACGCGGGGCCTTTCCCCTTTCCACGGTGTCATTGACGGGCTGGGGGACGGCACCGCAGGAGAAGGCGTAGTAGGAGCGTCGCCTGTCAGTATAATGGGTGTGGTGGTTGTCCTGGGGGCGGAGCTAGCGACCGTTGTCATGGTTATAGTTGTTGTTGATGAGATATTTTGGGAAGCAGGTGTACGCATCCTAAAAATAACATTTCCGTTACCGGGAGTCCCGACGCGGGAGCGTAGCTGAGACCGCCTGCCACTTTTCTTACTGTTTGGATACTTAATCTACAAAAAAACAGATCCCAGAAAGATTAATAACAGCACATTCTGAGACACAATAAGTTGTCTATTGTGTATACAGTTGTATTTATAGAAAAAATGTATAACATTTTGCCTCTTCGAATGTGTTTTAGGTTTCTTTAAAGAGGTCATGAACTGCATTTTTTAATTTTATTTTATAATGTTTCTTGAGGTGCACTTATAATGTTAGTATGAATTTAACATCATTGAAGGGGAGACTTCAGTTATTGGGAGAATTCAGTCTAAATCATAGATATCTATATAAAGGCTAGATATCTCGTCCGCGCTGCTGGCCAATGGAGGTCGACATCAGCACCTGGCGGCCATCTTGTCACAGGCAGCTCGCTCACTGGTAACATTGTTTTAATGGTGCATGTACTTTTTGAATCACCGTAACTTGCTCAATTTTCTACCGATTTTCAAACGGTCTGGTTTGTTATAAACGGCAGAGATGTAGTTATGATACTGCATACTTATGAATAATAAGTGTAGAAATAAATAATCATCCAGAATTATAGCCACGTTAATAACCTTTGTAAGAAACCAAAGCGTTTGTAAATCCGTCAAGATTTCAACGACAAAAGAGTATTTCTTACATCAGATACCGCAGAGCCCGCCAGAAAGCCTGTCTGTGACAAGATGGCCACCGGTGATTACGATAAATACTCCGACGTGAGACATCTAGCCTAGATATCTATGGTCTAAATGCCCACCGCTGTGATTGGCTATCATATTTGCATATGAAATAAGTACTACAAGTGAAACTCTCTCAAATATCTGTTGAGCATATACTGTAAATGCAGTGATTTTGTCTCACGAATGCTTTCATCGTAACTAACAGTGCAAACATGATGTAATAGGAGATTCATTGTGCGGTGTAGACAGCGTCATTGATTATAATGGGAGTCCAGAACTCAGTCGCTGGTAAACTCGTGCTGTGATTGACAACTCCAGCGATTATAAAGGGAGCATAGCTTAATCACAATTTAAATAACATATTATTTTCATGCTACTAAGAGAAAAAGACACGATGGGGCCAAAGACACGATGATGTAGAAGTAGGTGTTGATTTTCTTGGTCAAGTCATAATGTGACGAAATCCGAAACGAGGAGCTTGATTTCAGTAAAAGCTGTTTTTGGACTAATGAGGAAGTTTTGAGTTCTTCCTTGTAGAACGTACATGTTTTTATCATGCAATGACCTCTTACATGTCAAAATATCAAGGTAAATTTGATTTCTAAATCCATGACCCCATTAAAAATCACAAAAGATCGCTCACCTCCTCAACGAAGACGTCATAATCCGAGTCATCGATTTCAAACTCATCTTTCCTATCAGAGCTTGAGATGTAGACGTCAGAGTCTCCACTGCCTACATCCATTGTACCTGTTTTTAAAACAGGGGATTGATGTCATTTAAAGCAGGGGATCGTGTACTTCTGGCATCTGACCTCATAAATACAGTTAGCAGGGGAAAAAAAAATCACCATGATTTCATGCACAGAACACATCTGAATTTCAAAAGGTTTCTAAGGCTTGTTCATATTGCACACAATTCTGATTTGTTTGTCTCTTTAGTCCACTTTCAATCACTTCTGTCTGGAAATATGGAGAACCACCAACCCGATCTCACGGGAATTCGTATGAATTTTACGAGGTGGCTAATTCGTAACAATTCGTATGACCTCACTCGCAAGAATTAGTACGATTTTGCTAAATCGTACATATTTTACGAATTAGCCAATTCGTATGAATTTGTACGAATTACCTACCCGTGACCCCGCCCCTAAACATAAACATCACGTGGGTTTAGACAAATCGTACGAATACGTACGAGTGAGGTTGTATGAATTAGTACGAATTAGCCACTTTTGAACCACTTTTGAATTGGTCGTGAGATAGCGTAGCAACCACGTTTACATTCACTTTTGTTGACCACATTTACATATGAACGCGCCTCGAGATGACTGAAAAGGGAAAGAGTTAAAAGCCATGCCCAATTCAGTTCTGAAGTTACAGTGATCTTAATCCAGTTGTTTTTGAATCCAATTGATTCGCCAACCGAATTATGACCATGCTATCTTGAAACTGCGTAGCTCAATGAGTTGCTGTGATTGGACTGTAAATGTGTGTGTGGGGGTCTATGCTCTTAATCTGTCTGCTGGAGGGTTGGGGGCGGGTAACTACTGTAGCTGTAAGCCTCCCCCAAGTGTGTTTGTGTGACATTGAGGAGGGTCTTCCTCAAAATGAGCAGGCTTTAAGATGCTTAATTTAATTAGTCTGGTCTTTCCAGCCAGCATGCACACAATAGACCCTCCTTAAATCTGTGAGGAGCATCCAATATAAAACATGCAAACCATAGTCATTTAGACCCTTTTATCCACATATTATAGGGACAAATCAAGGGCACATTCAAATCTTTTTTTGAGCCATTTGGTTCATTCAATGAACGAAATGACTCGAAAAAAGATTCAATCATTTTGATGAACAGGAGAGTCACGAACGTGCATCACAGAACAGAGCAAAGCGAGCATTTGTGCTTATAAAACTTAAACTTTTTTATTTATTTTTGAAATGAACGATCGTTTCACTAGATAAGACCCTTATTCATCGTCTGGTGTCGTTTAAAGCCCTTTGAAGCTGCACTGAAACTCTCATTTGGACCTTGAACCGTTTGGACCCCATTGAAGTCCATTATATGAAGAAAATCCTGGAATGTTTTCATCAAAAATCTTAATTTCTTTTCGACTGAAGAAAGAAAGACATGGACATCTTGGATGACATGGGGGTGAGTAAATTATCAGCAAAAGTTATTATAAAAGTGAACTACTCCTTTAAGGTCATGTCCAGTAACTTACCGAGAGTGCGCACGGGGTTGTTAATGGCACTGGGAGGACTGATCCCATGTGCGTTTACGGATCTGATGACAAACTGGTACTCCGTGTCAGGCATCAGACCCTTGAGCACCATAGAGTTCGACTCTACTGGCTCTCTGATGTACGTCCACTCAGTGTCCATCTCCGGCCTGCAACACACACACACACACACTCATATCACTAAATTGTCATCCTGCTTTCTTTGATCATGCAGAGAATTAAACTTTTAACTATAAAACACTACTAGTTATTTTTTTACATTATCTGAAGAAACTGTGAGAGTTGCTTGCGCAAAATTCACAATAATGATGCTAGGGTTTTGCAAGAACGTGAATTGGGATCCTTTTTCAAAGCATTTCCACAGTAATTAACATTTTAAATCTACCTTTTAAAAAAAATGTACATTTATAATACTATACTTTCTTACCTTAGAATTAAATTACAGAAAACTGGTTAACGCTGATGCGTATGTGTTTCTAAGTATGCATTTCTGTGCAATATAGAAAAATGAATGCATGCATTTATAACTAGCAGGCTTTACTATTGTAATACCCTCCTCTCTGGTCTACCAAAAACTACAATTAATACAAAACTCTGCTGCTCGAGTATTGACGAAAAAGACCAAGAAGAGAGAACTTTACACCCATACTAAAATCATTACATTGGTTACCTGTTAGTTTTCGTGTTGATTTTAAAAAACCTTTAATTAGTTTATAAGGCACTGCATGGAATTGCTCCAGACTATCTTTTAAAAATGCTTATAGTTTATGTAACTGTAAGGACTCTCAGATCATCGGATTCATTACTTTTAACAGTACCAAACAGTAGAAGTCAAAGATTTGGTGATGCTCCTCGTCTCTGAAATAATCTTCCAGAAGTAAGACGTGCCGAAAATATAAATAGTTTTAAGTCTAAATTAAAAACGTATCTCTTTAGTCTGGCCTTCCTATAATATGTTTGTAATTTAAATGTTATTTTATCATTTTAATAAATCATTCATAATTTTTTTTTTTTTTCTTGTATTTTACCTGTATTTTGTACTTAGTTTTTATTTTTGTGCCAGTAAAGCACTTTGAACTGCATTCATTTGTTTGGAAAAAAAGTGCTATATAAATAAAATTTGCTTGCTTGCTTTTCTCAGGCAAATTAAACATCTTTCTCTCTTCTGAACAATGTAATCAATCTCTCAATGCTTTTTCCAATTTGGAACGTCATACTAATCTATGGTGGATTGTTTTCTGGTGCTAATATTGAGATACACGGGAAAGCAAAAATGACATTTGTTGTAGTTTCCGTGCACCACTATAGAAGTTTATCCAATCATGACACTTCCGCTTCTGCTATATTACCCAGATTATGTGAAAGGTTGTTAATCTGAGAAGCAGACAGTCTCTAGTGGGGGGTCTCTCCTAATCTGCTGGAGGACCATGCTCGATTGAATCATGCAGCATAATTATGAAAGAGTGTTAAAAACATGCCGATTGGACCTGGACACGCTCCACTGAATATATTTAGCATTACAGATTTTTTTATGATTTTGCTGCATCACAAGTTTATGATTTTTTTAAAGAAGCATGTAAGGATGCACCTCATGAAGTTGATGAATGCTTTTAAAGGGATAGTTCACACAAAAATGTAAATTATGTCATCATTTACTCGAGTTGTTCCAAACCTGTGTGAGTTTCTTTCTTCTGCTGAACACAATAGAAGATATTATGTAGAATGTTAGTAATCAAACAGTTGATGGTAGCCATTAACTTCCATATTATATTTGATTCCTCTCAGAAAAAAAAAGGTACAAATGCTGTCACTGGGGCTGTATCTTTTCAAAAAGTACACTTTTGTATCCAAAGGCTACATATTGGAACCTTAGAGGTACATATTAGCACCTAAAATGTACATATTATCACCTAAAATGTACATATGAACACCTAAAATTGACATATTACCACCTAAAATGGACATATTAGCTCATGAAATGGACATATTAGCACCTAAAATGTACATATTAACACCTAAAATGTACATATTATCACCTAAAATGTACATATTAACACCTAAAATTTACATATTACCACCTAAAATGTACATATTAACACCTAAAATGGACATATTAGCTCATGAAATGGACATATTAGCAACTAAAATATACATATTAGCACCTCAAATGTACATATTAGCACCTAAAATGGACAAAAGTTTCCCTTTTAAAAAGGTACAGCCCCAGTGCAGCTTTTGTACCTTTTTTTCTGAGAGTGTTCTATGGAAGTCAATGGAACTGTTCGATTACCAACATTCTTTATAATATCTATAATATCTTCTTTTGTGTTCAGCAGAAGAAAGAAACTCATTCAGGTTTGGAACAACATGAGGGTGCGCAAATAATGAGAGAATTTTCATTTTTGTGTGAACTATCACTTTAATGACCAGAGCTGGAATTTAGACAAAGCAGCAGCTCAAATATAAGAGAGGTTTCTTTTATTAACATTTTGGGTCATTTGTGTTATTTCATAGTTTTTATGACTTATTTATTTTTCCGAATTGTAGTAATAGAGAGTCGGTCGGTGAGTTGTCAGGAACTCATACACACATTCCAGCGGGCCGTTGTGTCCTGCGGGTCAGAGTTTGATGTGTGTGGAACTGGCCTGAATGGGTTAGTTGTGTTCTAGAACAGTAATGACCACAGAAATGCATTAGTTGCATGAGTCATCTAGACAGGGTAAAGATCACACGCAGAAACATCAGTCAGTCGAGTGTTAATAAATGCACAGAAGATCTTCAAGGGAATGCATTCTTTGAAAGAGAATGAATGAAGATTTAAAGAAATTTATTTTAGTTCCTGAAGTTGATCTATCTATCTATCTATCTATCTATCTATCTATCTATCTATCTATCTATCTATCTATCTATCTATCTATCTATCTATCTATCTATCTATCTATCTCCTGAACAATTACCTGATATAAGCCACCAGGAAGTATAGCACAGGTGCACTTCCTTCACTTTCTCCATGTTGCCATGACAGGGCCAGTTCTGTGTCCGACACGGCGACTGCTTTAGGTTGGGTAGGAGGTGTAGGAGGCATGCACTTTTCTACAATTTAAGAGAAGAATATAATGAAAGTTGATTGATTCTGTTAGCTAAATTCAGGCCGATTAAAATGATTTGTCTGCTCACCGTGAGAGCCTGTGCTGATGTCCCGGGGCATGCTGGGTCTGCCCTCCCCTGCCCAGCCGTACGCACCCACACTGACACGGTACTGCGTGGCCACCTTCAGCTTCCCGATCACCACATCCTAACACACACACACACACACGGGAACAGCTTGCCATGCACAACAGCACCATATGGCATTAACAGAGAATCAGATATGAACATATACTCACAAAGCTCGCTTGACCATCAAACTGCCCCTGCAAGACAACACTCATAAAGTCAAATTGTCCACTTCAACTGTGGTATAGTGTGTGTAAGTCTCACAATTCATGTGGTATAGCGTGTGTAAGTCTCACAATTCATGTGGTATAGTGTGTGTAAGTCTCACAATTCCTTACATAGTAAGTCTCAAAATTACTATGATCTGATCATTCAGAATTTATTATAAAAAATCTTTTAAAAATTATCATAAAAAAATTCAATTTATTTATCTTAATTATAATTAAATGTTATATATAAATATATGAGTGTATGTTATATATAATTATACAATAATTATAAATATATGTTATGTATATACTGTATATACTGTGTATATATATATATATATATATAGATAGATAGATAGATAGATAGATAGATAGATAGATAGATAGATATATATGTGTGTGTAAATGCATAAAACACCTCCATATATAAATATACACATAGGTAAATATATACATAAATGTAAATAATGTAATAATGTATTGTTATTTTTATCAGGAGTATTGTACCAAATAATAAAGAGGTTGTACATACAGTTGTGAGCATTTCTAAACTCAGTGGGACTTCCAGGACAACAGCATTGCTGGACGGACGGTTATTCCTCATCTCCGTGTAAAACACCTGGGCAACAGAATAAATTAATATTTACATTAATATTTTCCTCTGGAAAGCATCGCTCTCAAATCGTTCCTGTAATGACATCTATACAGAGTCTTCACTAGGGCTTGTAATACCTGATAGCAGATACCTGAGCGTTTTAGCTAGTTTTTATTCCATAAGCAACCATAACAACCTTAACATAAGTTAACAGAGACTCATACAGAGAAATCATAACACTCAATATGATGGCTTTGGTCCCGCCTTCACAAAGTTGTTTACTCAAGAACCATTCAAATACCAGCCAGAAATATTATATTTAATTAAAACTAAAATGAAAACCTTAAAAATAGCTGTGTCCCAATTTGCATGCTATCCGTCCTAAGTAGTGTCCCAAATCGTAGTATGTTGATTTCTGGTTAGTGCAGATCTGTTCACTCTCTAATATTACCCACAACCAATTGCATGTTAGATAAGGATTCGATTAGAACTACAAACATTAATAATAAGTGTAAGGTTGAGAGGTTTGACTGATTAATAATCAGTATCTAAATTGACAAAAATTTATTTATTCAATGTTATCCACATTATATTTCATCGGAAAAAGCATTGTGAACTTTTATAAAGATTTGTTTGGTCATTACATTTTAAATGCATCATTATAGAAACCAAGAGCAACATGTTACAACATCTATCCAATCCATCCATCCATCCATCCGTCCATCCATGCATCCAATCTATCCATCCATCCATACATCCATGCATCCATCCATGCATCCATCCATCCATCCATCCATCCATGCATCCAATCTATCCATCCACCCATACATCCATGCATCCATCCATGCATCCAATCTATCCATCCATCCATACATCCATGCATCCATCCATGCATCCAATCCATCCATCCATCCATCCATCCGTCCATCCATGCATCCAATCTATCCATCCATCCATACATCCATGCATCCATCCATCCATGTATCCAATCCATCCATCCATCCGTCTATCCATCCATGCATCCAATCCATCCATCCATCTATGCATCCATCTATCCATCTGACCATCCATGCATCCAATCCATCCATCCATCCATCCATCCATCCATGCATCCATCTATGTATCCAATCTATCCATCCATCCATCCGTCCATCCATCCATGCATTTATCCATCCATCCAATCTATCCATCCATCCATCTATCCATCCATGCATCCAATCTATCCATCCATCCATCCCTGCATGCATACATCCATCCCTGCATCCAATCTATCCATCCATCCATCCGTCCATCCATCCATGCATTTATCCATCCATCCAATCTATCCATCCATCCATCTATCCATCCATGCATCCAATCTATCCATCCATCCATCCATCCATCCCTGCATGCATACATCCATCCCTGCATCCAATCCATCCATCCATCCATCCATCCATCCATCTATGCATGCATACATCCATCCATCCATCCAATCTATCCATCCATCCATCCATCCATCCATCCGATAGAATACTCAATTAAACTGAATGTGGAGGATTTTAACTGTGACAAGTTTAAATGCACATAACTAAGACACAAAGAGCTTGAACCTTGTATCCAGTGATAGTGCTGACGTGTCTGCGGGGCATCTTCCACCGGACACTGAATGCAGTGCAGTTCACCGTCTCCAACTGGATGTCCAGCGGTGGACTCAACCTCTCTGAGAGGAACAACAGATCACCTCACAGATATAACACAACATAAATACTACTTTATCATTCATCAGTTCATATACATATCAACATTAAACTACATCAACATAAGACCAAAAACAGATCTTGCAGATGCTTACTTTAGCAAACAGCTAATAATTATTTAATGTAACTCATTCAATGCTGTTGATGAGAAAGGTCGTAACAAGAAAAAAAAAGGAATATATATATATATATATATATATATATATATATATATATAAAAACAGGCCAATTTTAGATGCATTACAGATGATGCTTGTGGACAAGGTCATTGCTAAATGTCTCGCACACACAGTGTGTGTGTGTGTGTGTGTGTGTCGCTGCAACCCTAGTGAAATATCCTATGGCATACTATGAAAGTCAATGGGGTCCATCGGTTACTGACATTTCTTTTATTGAATTGAAATATCTTTAATGTCCCTTAGGGGCAATTTAGTTCACAACTGGTAGCCAACACATACACAATCACACAAAAATGGATAAAAAACATGAGATAATAAAAATAGATAAAAATATAAATAACATGTACCTATAGGTTGTTGAGAAACCCAACAGCTAATGGTACAAATGTTCAATGTTTTATTTTCAACAGAGGAAAGAAATTCACCTAACTTACCCTATTGTTTCTACACCGTAAAAATGATATTTCAAAGTGGTAAATAAAACAAAGATTACTGGAGTATATTAAGAAAACACTATGTGTACTGTAAAGTTGCTGTTTGAGCATAAATCCATCATTGTCTGACTCCGGTTTGAACAATAAAAGGTTAAAAGTTTTTTTTAATTTTCCGTGCATGTCTATGTGAGGTAAAAGCGTAACGGCTGTTGTAGCTCCGCCCCCTGTGCTGAGAGTAGACACTCATTTGCATTTAAAGGGACAGACGCTTTTGCTCACCCTCAAAAGGTGACAATTTTAACATGCTACATATAAATATCTGTGGGGTATGTTGAGCTAAAACTTCACATACACACTCTGGGGACATCAGAGACTTATTTTACATCCTGTGAAAAGAGCATTATACCACCCCTTTAAGTATCTTCATGTTTTTCAGTGTATCCCGTGATCCCATCATCAACTCATGCCTGCAGGTTTCACAGAAACGCATTATTTATTCCAAACGCATCACTTTCTCTTTTCAAGATATTGCTTTCCCATTAAAATAAACACACATCAAGACATTTCACTTAAAAGGTTTGTAGTCATTAGAGAAATTGTGTAATTTGATGTAGTCTGACTAATACGCTCGTTTGATCTTGGCTCTGATACATCTGTTATGAGTTGCAGGTGTTTGTGGCGCAATTAAAATAAACTACCTTCTGAAAAGACACCAATCTGAACCAAGATTAATCTAAAAACATACAAACAAAGCATGTTTCCAGAGCCCAGTGCAAAATTAAACCATAATGCACTGTGAAATGAATGTGAAATAACAATCTCAAATACACAGAGCCATAATAGATGTACTTATGAAAAGCAATTTAGGAAGGATCTCACATAATGAATTTTTTTCCCATGAAACTTAATACAATATCTGAAAAACACTTTACAATAAGGTTCATCTGTAAACATTAAAATTAGTTAACATGAACTAACGGCAAAATCCTTCTAAATAATTTATTAACTCTAGATAATGTCATCTAGTACAAAAAGTTGCATTGTTAATATTATTTAATGGACCTGAGCTATGAACTAACAATTAAGTTTAAAGATTTACATTTGTTAACTATAATGGGACCTTATTGTAAAGTGTTACCCCATATCATTTAGAAATTGCCAGAGAACTTCCAAAAGTCGTATGCTACTTTCCACTTTGGGAACAAAGTTACTTTGCATTTCATTACAATTTTGTGTAAAAATGTCTTAACGTTTGAAGTGCGATCAAATGAGTCGACGAAAAGAGGTGATAAAATCCCAGCAGCAATTACTTCTGTTTCATCACACAAAATAATGAGAGAGCATTGTATTGTGGGATACGGTATTTAATTGTTACAGCACATTTTGGAAAATGAAGTAGCTCATCCAGTATTTTATGCATACTAGAAAATTAAGAGCACAGTATGCAAACTATTTACTTAGTGTGTTTAGTGTCAGCACTCAGAATGCCATTCTGCACACAGCCCATGATTTACAACTCGCAATTGCTTGTCAGAAGCACCTAGTACTATATGAAAAGAAAAAAAAAATTATTTGAAACTCATTTTTATTCTTTTGGCAACTTTAAAGCTAAAGTCACAATACTAGCTTGATTTAATGGGATCCTTAATTCGAGAGCATCCCAGAACGATGTATATCATTAAGGTATGGATTTTAGGCAACAGAAAACGGAGATAACAAAATTGGAATTGATGTTTAAGTTTGTGTGACGGTGCAAGAAAACCTTCAGTGACCAAAAATGTCCCATTTTCATTAACAACTTTGAGTCAATACAAACTAAAGAGAAAAGGCTCCGGGCAAAGATCTTTCTCAACAGATGATGCAATCAGACTTATAGGAAAATTACATTTACCCAGACCAAATCTTAATAGTTCACTTCTACAGTTTCAATCCGTCCACTGTCATAGTGTGGAACCATGAGGTCTGAAACGAAACAGACCAAACCTGGCTATACTTGGCTGTAGACTTAGTCTTTTAATAAATCAAGACCACCAAATTAAATATCGCTTCACTAAAAAGCGCATTAAGGTTAAGCATCTCCATATACCCAAGGGGACCAAAGGGACAAGCACCAATTTGAAGCATTTCATCTGAAGTGTCAGTTATCAGAGGGCTTGTTTATCTGAAATGACTGATGGTTTTCATTACTCTAAACTGTTGGCTATGGGCATTGGGCATGAGATCGTCCGGAGGGCATGTGGAAGCGCCATACAGCGCTGACCCTGCCGTATGACTGCGACCTCAGATGTCTCTGTGACAAATCACCTGAACATCCATCCATCGGAATAGCTGAAAAGTTTGTCCTGGGTGATTACGGGACATGAAGAAGCTCCAAAAGTATCATGCATGCTTAAAAATGCGTGAATGTCTTGTCATTGCATTGGCGAAATATAAAGAAGAAAGGTCTGATGCAAAAAAAAAAAAAAAAAAAAAAAAGTTTGACAAATCAATAAAACACCATGTGATTTAAAGACTTGCGTAAAAAGCTAGTGAAGATTGCCTATTGTATTTAATGCAATGACATACATGTCCAAATAGCCTATTTGAGGTTATTGCATAATAATAATAATAATAAAATCATCATTAAAAAAATATGACTAAATTTGAAGAAATGAAAATGACACTCACCTGACTTCCGTGCACTAGACTTCTTTGCGCAAAGAGCGCTATTCCACATCCACACCAATGCAAGAAGCACCATCACTCTCTTCTGGAGGCGCATTTTCAATCCTTTATGATTTTGGAAATACTGATCGCATAAATATGAGCTTCAAATTCTGCTGTTCCTCATTCTAAACTCCCGTAGATAATAAAGCGCTGAAAGTTCGATGTAGCCTGTTGCAGACGCTGAAGCCGGTCTGATGCGATTACTGTCTGCTGGTGATCACACACACATAGCCTACACTCCTCATGTGCGGGCCCTCAGGAGCCCCGACGCGCGCGATCGACGCCGAACAACTTCTACATCCACGGAGCGCCACGACACACACACACGCGCGCGACTCGAGTCCGTGAATCACACTCAGACGCAAAGTTTCTTCTTATTCCAGAGTGTTTTTGAGCGGAGCGGTGAGGAGAGAAGGCAGGGACACTCGGAGTTAAGAGGATAATAGTCTAATCTACACAGATGGAGACTTGAGCTCGCTTCAGTAACTCTGACCAATATAGCAACACGGAGACTGGTCGATACACTCGCACACACTGAAGGATGATTGAGGGAAAGTTTCAGCGGTAAAGGTGCAGATGATGGACGGGGATGAGTGGACATTAGATGAACTTTGTGGTGGGTTAAGTTAAAACTATTAGATAGATAGATAGATAGATAGATAGATAGATAGATAGATAGATAGATAGATAGATAGATAGATAGATAGATAGATAGATAGATAGATAGATAGATAGATAGATAGATAGATAGATAGACAGATAGATAGATAGATAGATAGATAGATAGATAGATAGATAGATAGATAGATAGATAGATAGATAGATAGATAGATAGATAGATAGATAGAAGTTGTCCTGTTCATGTTTTCTCTTCTCTCCTTCCTCCTTGAGAATATGAGGAATCAACCGGAAATTGAGGAATTCATAGCTGTCTCAAAGCAATCATTTCTGTTATAGAATTGGATGTTTATGTCAAATGGGGGGGCAATCATCTGCACTAAATCATCTGCATTTTTCTGCATTGTCTTCCCTGCTAAAATCAAAGGAGATTAATTAAGTTTGATGATTAAGCAGCCTGATTAGTGACAACATTCACTGTGATTACTGACATTTTAATTTAGTCCAAACACACACACACACACACACACACACATTTAAGACTGCTTCATCACATAAACCCATAAACCAAACCCAACTTATAAACAGATATTGTATTACATTATTTAATATGATATATATTATGTGTTTATAATATAATAGTATAATTATTTTGAATATATAAATACACGTGTTATTAATATATCAAATATTTATATTTATGTATAATATTAGTTTTGTATAAATATATATAAAGTATATAACATGCAAATATTTCATGTGTGTATGTATATATTCATGTGTGTATATATACAAAATAATTGTACACACCACACACACATATATTATGTAAACACAAACTTTTATTTTGGATGCGATTAATCGCGATTAAAGCGCTTCAAATCACTCACTAGCCTACTGTAAAGCTTCCTTAAACAAGGAATATCAACCAACATAATAAATTGACTTCATCAAACAGTAAATATGAGCTAAAGTAAATAAATCATCTTGGTAATAATATAAGCAGAAGTCAAACGTGAGCATATGCATCGAGTCTGTTTGCTATACGGCCAAAAGTTTAGGATGACATTGATGTAAAATGATCCTTTTGTGGCTTTACATCTGAAACTATTTCACATCACATATAAGTTCTGGAAAGACATTAATTCATTTTTAGTTGAAAATATTCTTCCTGAGTTCTCCCTGTACAACAAAAATGTAATTTTTGGTTGTTTTAGTGACTGTGTGGAAGGACAGCGGTGCACTCTTTCTAGTAAACCTAATCTTATTTATTTGTTGCCAAATTCCATATCCATAAATGTAAATTCAGTAATAAAAAACATATTTTTTCTGTGCTAATCTACTATCTCTTCCATGCAAAACTAAAAAAGCTGTTAAAACTGTGGTTAATTGTACTACTTTTAATGTGTTTATTAGATTAAAAATCTTGTGTTTTTTCTCTTTTCTTTTTCGTGGGTATTTTTTTTTTTTTTTAAGTTTCGCTACTTTGATTGTATTGTTGATTACTTTCAATAAAGTAGCCTATAAAAAAATAAATAAAAAAAGATGCTGAGACTAGCGTTGATAGAGACGCACATTAAATACACCTGATTATATGCGATTGCAAGACATAATCATCCAAAAAATAATTTATACAAAAAAAAAAAATCTGTTTGCTACACTCACTCGATCACTCCATGCGGAGGTGAACGCCCCCTGCTGGAGATGGGCGGAGAAGGGCCTTTAACGGCCCATATTATTGGCTTGACTCGGAGACCTACACTAAAACAGTCCCCCGAGTCAGACCCCTCGTTCGAGACAGCGCCTATCAAATTGTATCGGATAAACATGTGAAGAACACTGTTTTTAACACTGTATATTAATAAATGACACGATCATTCGGAGATGGTCAGAAGTAGTTTCTAAATTGTGGATTCCTTATTGCAGATATTTGTTTTTATTTATGTGTGGGTCAGATGAGGAACTACGGAGATGAGAGGAACAATTACTGTATCTTGCATTCTCTCACAAAAGGTTTTATTTGTTGTCTCAAAAGAAAGTTTCCCTTGAATCTCCTATATTTTTTTCTGTCAATATGTCGAGGGGCCCTCGACGAGGGCTCTGTAGGGATCTGACTGTTTAAAGAATTTGAAAATGAAAGGAAATTTTTTGCATCGTTTTATTTTGCCATTTTCTTTCTCTTCAAATAAAAACAAGTAAATAACTCTGCTAGCCTAGCTGTTGATCTTTTCATATTGTGATCCCATTTAGAGTACTAGACCGGTAGAGGGAGTGTTTGTCATGTAAAAGAGCGCTGATCTCAAACTGAAACTGGAAATCCATTTAATCAACAGGTTAAATGCCAACCAAAATACATAATAGCAGGTTCATTGTGGATATAGCCTAGAGGTATTGTTTTTATCCCTTCAGCTCGGAATTATTGTGAAACGAGACAATAGATCATCACTTGAATATAAATTATAAAATAATTCATTTGTGAGAAACGACAAAGTAGCTACATTACAATAACGCTGCTCTCACGTGCTATCGGACATTTCCTACTTCCCACTTCTGAAGTCGTGATTACGAGATTCACATTTTGACTTGAAAGGGCGCAATTCTTTCCCCTTTTTTTCTTTTACCTAGGGAACTAATATTTACCATAGCACGTGAAGGCAGCATTCATTTCATAATAGAGTTACTGCAGCGCATATCTTTAGCGATCTTTCCAGCACGTTTAAATTATACCTAGGAGGCGGTTTGCTTCGTCGATGATGTCACTCAGCGTGTTTTGATTGAGCGCGCGAACTGTTCACGCGCACTGCACATCGTCACAGCTGGCGCGAGAATGACCTGGACTCACTATGGACATGGACAATTAAATAATCTATGCAATTAAAAAACTTTATCTGATATATTGAAGTGGACGTATAGCAACATTAATATATTGTGGATCATATGTTAAAGCGCCGTCAGGAAGAGGCTGATGTAGTTTGTCAGCAGAAGAACATGAGAGCTGAAAGGAAATATAATATGCACTGTTTTTATTTTATAAATGTTTTCGGAAAGCACCTTTGGCTCTGTGATCATCAGTGCTGATGGCAGGATACACAGAGCTGAACTCAGGTGAGTGTATAATCATACATCCTTTTCAGTGTTTTTTAAATTGTACTTGGGGCTTTATACTACTATTTATTCTACTACTAGTTGTGTTAAATTAAGTTAAATTATTATTATAGTAACCAGTAACCAAGTGTGTATTTTATTAAACTTAATGCAAATTGTTTTAGGGCTAACTTATATAAAAATATTAATAATAATAATAAAGCTTTATTAAATTAAATTAAATTTAGAAAGTGCTTTTTTAACGCAGCTAGTCGGTAGTTGTAGATATTTTTAATTTTACATAAATAATTTTCTTTAATAATAACATCATATTAAGTTATATATTTAAGATTATTATTGTCATCATTACTTATAATTATAACAAATTTAATTTACGAAGTGCCTTTTTTCATTTAGTGGCTAGTCCTGTTGTTTTTATTTTTTTTAAAGAAGTGTTTGGGGTAATATAATAATAACAACAATAACATTATACTATCAGTTAAATAATAACAATTATTAGTAGCCTATTATGAAAGTGTCTTTTTTGCAGTAGCTTAAACTTGCTTGACAGAGAAATTAAGTAAATGAATAAAAACCGCAAAAAAAGCAATATCTGTCTTTACTGATGTATTAATTTAATGTTTTTTATTATTATTATTTTTTTAAAAAAAGGTATGTGATGTAAATGTGATAAAAATACAATACAATAAAGGCTGATTTACACTCTAAGACAACGGTCTGACTGAACTCCATGTGTTATGTGAGTGTGTGCCGCCCGACACAGGCTCTCTGAGCTGAGGAGAGGGTAAGATGAAGATTTGGGCTGTGATGCTGGCGTGTGCACTGATGCTGAGCGGCGTGTCGTCTGTCCCGCTGTGTCTACAAAACCCCAAAAGAGCCGGACACTCTCGCTGTCCACAACCACACACTAAGTGTCCGCAAAGACTGGACCAAAATCTGCCTGATGCTCGTACCATCAAACATCCGCAGCCGAAAAGTCACTCAGGTCAGGACAAGCTACTTGATTCTTATTATTAAATAAATAAATGTCACATGAATACACACAGGTGTGATAAAGCGCGTTTCAGGACACACCTGATACTGTTGTGGTGGTTAAGTAAAGCAGTTTCAGGTGACCCATTGTACCTGGGCGGGACACTAGACACACACACTACTCTAGTTCGATCAGCTTACAACTCATCTATGTTTAGAAAACCTGTATATTATCTGGTGCCTGTGGACAAAAGCAGTATTGTTGCTAAAAGCTGTCAGAATAATGCGAACTATATCACGTTATGGCTCTTTGATCGCTCTTACTCGCACTCAATGCGGGGTACCGTTTCACAAAGCACATCAAAACATTACCGTACACTGTCCAAATATAATGAGCAATGCACTTCAAAAGGGTCATATCGTTTATTATTATCAGTCCTTTTTGTTCTTGAGGTCCCCTAACCAAGGGTTTTTCCAGCATTTTACATGCGTCTCCGCGTCCGTTAGTTGCTCAACAGTCCTGTCGAATACGTTATTAAAGAGAACTGTTATATATAGAAAGTAGACAGTAATGAAAAGTTAATAGCATAAGCCGTGTGGTTGATCTCCAGTGTTGCGGAGCAGAAATACATAATCATGTTTGGCTTGGTCCCCTCAAAGTTGCGTTGGATTTTTTCCTCAGTGGAAAAGTTATAAGGGGCCGGCGTCCGTCTATCACTGGTTTCCAAGTTCGTAGACTAAATATATAGGCTGTAATCTGTGTGTTTACACAGCTTTTTTAAAGCTTCACTGTGTAACTCTTTTAGTTTATTCTTAGCTAAAAACACTTAGTTCTTTCAAAAATATATGTGCTCATTAGTGTATATTTACTTCGTTCAAGTAATAATGTATTCTCGTGATTGTATAATATGCCATTGAAAATACATACGGGTGGGTTCTAATGTCGGTCGCCATGTTGACCCTCCATCTTGAAAGTACATTAGCCAAAGAGGGACATACCCGTTAATTCAAGCTTTACGTTTGAACGAGGTCGAACTGGAAGCCATGTTAATCTTGGACTACATTGGCCACCGTAGGAGTTAAAACGAAATCAGAATTGAGAGGAACAGAAACTAATATTCACTGGATGGTCATATACCTTTTCACCACTAGATGGGGGTAAAAATCACACAGTGTAGCTTTAAAAATAGCGGGTGCTATTGTTTCGTGCACGTTCGGCCAATCAGCAAACACTAACGTCACGGATAGTAGACCCTACTCTACTAAATTAGTAAATTAGTTCCTCCAAAAGGAGTTCCTTGAACTAAAATTAGGGCTGTGCAAAAATTAATTGCGGTTAATCGCATCCAAAATAAAAGTCTGTGTTTACATAATATATTTGTGTGTGCTGTATATAATTATTTTGTATATATAAATACCTATGCATGCATGTATATGTTTAAGAATGATTTGCGCTTAAATTCTGTATATATATATATATAAATAAATACATAATCTATATTATATAAAGATAAATATTTTTAACACATTTTCTTAAATATATACATGAACGTGTGTGTATTTATATATACAAAATAATTATAAACACCACACACAAATATATTATGTAAACACAGACTTTTATTTTGGATGCCATTAATCGCAATTAAGCCCTAACTAAAATAGTTCCTAGTTCTTTTAATAAGCTATAAATTACAGACATCTTAAATCATCAGACAAATTACAGGCGTCTGAGGACGATTTCTCATTATTCATCTTTATTTTCTGATTCAATCATAGGCTCGTTCTTACTAGATCACGTAGTAGATTTGCACATGACGTCACGGTTTACACAAATTCGCATTTTTGTAGCGTACAGGGAGACTAATGTCCAAAATGTGTATTTAGGGGGCATTTAAACAACATAATATGACCTTCTCAAAGCATGTATATACACAAAGAGCATAATCTGTCCACATAAAACTTCCTCGTTCAGGTTCAGACTGCTCAAACTGATATATCTGTGGTGTAAATGTGGGGACATCTCTTTCCTCTGTCCTCAGACAGCTTGCCCGCTCCCGACTCAGCCTTCATCCACAGATTCAAGAGATCCCCGAAACGGAGAGGTTTCCTCCGTAACAAGACGGACAGGAAGAGGCCGAGTCGTGACGAGAGAGAGAAAGGAAAAAACAGAGCATGTGCACTAAGACAAGTCCAGCTGAAAGTGTCAGATCTGGGCTTGGGCTATCGGAGTCAGGAGGAGATGATATTCAGCTACTGCAGCGGCGTGTGTGTAAACTCACTCACAAACTACGACAAAATCCTCACCAGTCTCGCCGGCGGTGATAAAAACACTCTGCACAGCTCGCCCCCCACCGCCTGCTGTCGACCCGTCCAATACGACGACGACCTGTCCTTTCTGGATGACAACCTGATGTACCACACCATGGAGAGGCACTCGGCACGGAGATGTGGCTGTGTCTGAGCAGCTGTGGGAGACAATGACACAAGACAATTTCAGGTTGTATGACTTGGTTGAGGGAACCATCATGATTGCATTTCTCTGAGAAGATACAGGATAGGGGAATTTCAAGAATGGTGTTGCAGGATGTTAAACTCCATGTTTTTAAAAGTTCTTGGTGTCTTTTTGACATTTAACCTCCACTAATGTGGAGAATTTAAATATGTTCAATGTTAAAGGGTTAGTTCACCCAAAAATGAAAATTAAGTCATTAATTACTCACCCCCATGCTGTACCAACCCCGTAAGACCTTCGTTCGTCTTCGGAACACAAATAAAGATATTTTTGATTAAATTTGAGAGCTGGATCACTACCACATTGGCTCCTAAGGGACTGCCTCTTGACGGCCCAGAAAGTCAATGAAGAAAATGTTTAAATATCCCAAGTGACTACCGTGGCTCAACTATATGTTTATCAAGCAACGCGAATACTTTTTGTGCGAAAAAACAAGCAAAAATAACGAGTTTATTCGACTATTTCTTTTCTTCCTTGTAGGCCAGAACGAGACTTCCTTATAGATTTCCACGACGCATGCGCGAGAATTGCGATCTGAAGTAGTGTAAGCTGGTGTACGCAGATCGCAAATCTCGCGCATGCGTCGTGGAAATCTATAAGGAAGTCTCGTTCTGGCCTACAAGGAAGAAAAGAAATAGTCGAATAAGCTCGTTATTTTTGTTTGTTTTTTCGCACAAAAAGTATTCGCGTCGCTTGATAAACATATAGTTGAGCCACGGTAGTCACCTGGGATATTTAAACATTTTCTTCATTGACTTTCTGGGCCGTCAAGAGGCAGTCCCTTAGGAGCCAATGTGGTAGTTATACAGCTCTCAAATTTAATAAAAAATATCTTCATTTGTGTTCCGAAGACGAACGAAGGTCTTACGGGGTTGGTACAGCATGGGGGTGAGTAATTAATGACTTAATTTTCATTTTTGGGTGAACTAACCCTTTAAAAACAGTACCCAACTGAATTATTTGATAATTCATTAAATTATATATATATGTATTTAAGTACGTATTTGTTTTCCCCTAGTTATTTTTTCATTGTTATTGATTCTGTTTAATAAAAAAAAATACTAAAAAGAGTACTCATCTTTGCGTTGTTTCACAGTTAGGCTAGTCTTACAAGTTTTCTTTAAGACTGTTTTTTGAGTCAGTTACATAAAAACATAGATTGGACTAATTTAATACTGAATAGTAAGACCGTATTGATTGACTCAATGTAGAGCTTGGGTTTGTGGAAGAAAGATGTAAAAATAGTGATGATGGAAATGATTAAGAGACTGAAACCAGAGATATGGAGCGTGTTCGTGACCTGATCTCTAATTCAGAGTTCACGTTTCGGCCACCGCACACACCTGTGTCATCACACACCACACAGGACATCATTAATACACCCGCCAACAAGGAACAACCATGTTAATGCCATTACCTCAACATGACAAACACAGGCCCAGCTCAAGAGTAACACTAGTAATTAGTCATTAGCTGCTGTAAATCTGTAATGCGAGCACTAGACTGAGAAACAGGAGAGGGAGGCTGAATGTATTGGGTTCTGGAAGTAAAAATCCTCTTTTTTATGATATGAAACTAGAACAGATCTATTATGAGCTCTGAGGTTAAGTGATGGGATATGCTTCTGATTTGTCACAAGACAAGTTTCAAGATCCACAAAAGAAAAAACATTTAAAAGTTTGTACGTCAGTAAGATTTTTTTTTTCTTTTTAAGATTGTCACTTGTCATACACATAAGTCTTGACACTCACCATGGCTGCATTTATTTGATCAAAAATACAATAAAACAGTAATGAAATATTATTACTATATAAAATAACCTTTTTAAAATATTTTTATATACAGTATATTTTCATTGCTGCAGTTCTCAATGTCACATGATCCTGATGATTCGCTGCTCAAGAAACATTTCAGATTACTATAATCATTAAAAAAAAGTTGTGCTGCTTCATATTTCTGTGGAATACAAAAAATTCAGGATTCTTTGATGAACAGAACAGGATTTATTTGGAAAAAAAATGTCTTTACTGTAATTTATTATCAATTTAGAGCATCCTTGCTGAATAACAGTATAAAACTGTTTTTGATAACATAATTTCTTAGGCAAATACGCAGCTTTGCCATTACAGGAATAAATTACATTTTAAAATATATTAAAATAGAAAACAGTTTTTTTTTAAATAATAATAATATGCAAGAAAGGTGCTTATTGCTGTTATAAAAGTGTTGTTTACATCGCGCTTTTCTAGTATCCCGTTTATGTGTGCGTCAATCTATTTAATATTTTTAAGATGGCTGTGATCTGCATTTAAAATTCCTTTGTCACTTTATTTCACTTTTTTAATGGGTCAATAATATAAATGTTTATATCCTAATAAAAAAGCCTAAATAAAACGTGTTCATCATTGTAAAGCGGTCTCTTCAGAAATGTTGGACTAAACCGCTCTGTTGGTTTTATTTTATCCCAGCTTTTATGTAGTGTTAAAAAACTGAAACAGGATCAGCGTTGTTTACATCTTGCAAATGAAGGTGAGTAACGTTAATTAATGAGTTAATTCATCTTAATATTTTGCTTTTTAGGGTGAAGGTAATAAAGCAAGGGTTTAATGGCTGACAAGCTGTCTAGAGTGGCAACAGGACACTGACACATCTTGCTTAACGTTATTTCTCTCGTGTGGGTAACTTACTTGTGGGTTTTTTTTCTTGGTTAAATCTCATTGAGACTAGCCTACTTGAGACTGGCATGAGTTCTCGGTTCCTCTCTTTTCCTCTACGTCCGAAATGTCAAACCTGACTTTGTTTACGAGTCTTTCAGTGTTGGGATTTCAATGCTCCGTTTTATCACGGCCCTCTTCTCATTGTCTTTACATTGTCATCTACTGACAAGCCAACTTATTAAATCAAAATGTACTTTAGAAATGTGTTTTTAATTTTTTCAAACAAGAAAAAAACCTACGTTGCTAACGGTTTTGCGCAGTGATACACGGAACCTTTGAGTGATGCGGTTGTATCATCGTGAATAAAACACACAGCTATGACTAATCAGTTTTTACTGTTTTGATTAAATAAATGCAGCATTGTTGAGCATAAGTGACTTTTTAACCGGTACTGCATACATATAGCCTTCACATTCCAGGTTTAAAAATGTACTTATTTTGAAAACGAATGCAAATAGTCTAAAAGGAATACTGAAAGAATTGCCCTTTATAGGCCTACTTTATTGCTTTGTGTCCATTTTTATTTATTTATCTGGTTGGACTTTCTAACTAAGGTTTGCTGAAATGCCAAAGCCACTGAAAACCTTGCAGTCTCGTCTCACTGCCTGTATCTCTTACCGTTTTCTTTCTGTTCAGCTTCAAGCTCAAAACTGCAGCTGGAGTCAACAAGTCACTATCTAAAATAGCACCCAGATTTCAACTCAAGTGATCCAGCAGTTTCATTACAGTGCATTGTGTGTGTTAACAGATGACTTGCTATCCTGAGCAGAATGAACACATCTCTTTGTATGTTTAAGGTAAAGACTCGAGAGAGATGTAGAGGGTGTTCCCAATTCATTAAAACACATTTACTCCTCACTATGTGATTCATTATGCAATACAGGGAATTGAGACAACAGGTGAGCAGACGCAGACCATGGGTTTCTTCATTGATGGGAAAGTATAGCATGTACACCAGCATTGGGAATCATAAAAATCATCTTAATACGACAGGCCCACTGTACATGTAAACAAGTATAGCTAAATTCAACAACTGGGCACTTATCTGTTTCTTTCATCAGTGTAAATCACGTATTCTCTCCATCATGCAGGCTGTAGCCAGTCATAACATGCATTCTTCTCCCAGAATGATGTGAAACACCTGTTGTCCTGTTTCCAGCACCTGTTGACAGGTAAAGCAATGAGATGTTCTACAGCAATAACTAAAAATGACACCAAAGAACAGATTAAGTTACATAATGTTCTTGTATAAAATCTTTTTTGGACTAATGAGATTTCACAGGGGGTCGTGTTACTTAAACATGCCCAACTTTAAAAGTTTCTTCGATTTGGTATAGACTGATCATGAGCCAAAACATTATATGACCAGTCACAGTTGAAGTGAATATCGTTTATCATCCTAATAAGGCCACGTATTAAGGGCTGGGTAGATTAGATGATAAGCAAAGTTCTCGTAATCAATGTAGGATGCAGGAATAAAGATCTGTGACTTCGGCAAGGGCCAAATTGATATGGCAAGGTGACTGGCTTTGAGAATCTCTTAACCCTCTGGGGTTGTTCAGCCCAAATGGACCCGAAAAATTAAAAAAAAAATTTTTTTTAAATCACAGCTTCCTCGGAATGGTCCGAAATTTTTTGACTGTTGGTATTTGAACACCCAAAAAAATTGGGGACGGGATAGTCTAAGTGGATGTAAAAAAATAGTCACACTTGGGGTGTTCGGGTCCAAATGGACCCGCATGGAAAAAGAATGGGAAATTGGCAAAAATGTGAAAATAGTGAGTTTTTTGTGCATACAATCTACAAATCAGCCACAATCTTGAAAAAAAGCACACAACAGTGAAGGGGTGAATCTATAAAACATCAAGAGTGCAAAACAGACATCCAGACACACACAAAAACACACTTTTATACACAAACACACAAATCGGATTATACATGCGTTTTGCATTTTTAAAATGCTCAGTTTGTCCACCAGATGGCATCCATCTCATTTCAAAAATTGCTTTTATGAGGCCTAGGCTTGACTCTAAAATGAAATACAGCTTTAAAAAAAAAATTAAATTTTTTTTTAAATATTTTTTCTATTATGTTCAATGGAGGGAAATTTTGTCATAATTATTGCATTAATACTAATTATAATTTTTTTTATTTTTGAAATTATCAAAACACCAAAAAAGAAAAGAAAAAATATAAAAAAACGAGTAAAAAAAAAAAATCATGATTCTTTTTTTTTTTTTTAAATATGAATCCCACCCTTTGGGTCCATTTGGACTCGAACACCCCGAGTGTGACTCTGAAACGAACAACCCCAGAGGGTTAAACAACAAGACTTGTGTTGCGTTTAAGTGGTGAGAATTGCCGAGTTTATAGTGTCTGAAGAGGGAAAAACCACAAACCTGCACCAGGGTGTTGGCCGCACAAGGCTCTTCGAAGCACA